ATCTTTCTTTTTCATCTTATACAGTGTAGTTCATTTGTTGGGTATATTTTATAAATTATCTTATAATAAAGGGACCTAAGTCTTGGCTCCTTCAGACATTGAACTGTTCTAAATAACAATTTCATATCTATGTCACCCTCTTCCCTCCATTTTTCAGGAATATTAGGTAGTTCTGTTTGATTTTTGATTATTATATTTTTATAGTCTTTTAATTTTGCTGTTGCTATAACAATATTATTATACATATTTTCATTGCTTTTGTGAACAATGGTTTTATTATACAATAAAGATTTTAACAAATTATATTGCATTCTTAACTCTGGTCTTGGGCCTATGACTGGCCAATATAATATATTTTCCCTCGGGACCTGCGGCACTCGGGCAGATATATTATATCTGCCTCGGGATGATCCCAATATCCTGTACCTCATATAGGATAATCTCTATAAATGCGCTAACACATCTTTCAACTTCCTTTAGTATCATATAAAAAGTATATGCCTGTAATGCGATAAAACAGTATTTTAATTGAAAACAAGTCAAAATTTCAATCATTTCTATATCAAGTATCACAGACTTGCAATTTGCATTAAATTTAATCTAAACATAAGCAAGTACTGTATCTAAGGTCTGCGGTATAAGAAACTGAACATAGGTTTCCTGTAATATTAATAATAGCTTACCGTGAAGTTATATTCATCATATTTTCTACAAGAGTCTGAGACAACCAGAGCAATGACGTAGTTTGCTATCATAACAAGACTCGAGTGTTTCTGAAAATCATAACTGGAAATAAGAGCTCTTACTGGAAACGGTTGGATAGAGTATCTCATAAAACTTAATCTGCGATGATATAAGTTTTCAGGGTCAACTTGATCGATACTAGGAATCAAACCGTCGGGTCATTTGTCTTCACTTTGGACAAGGTTTACTTACAAAAATTGAACATAGATCACTTCTACGGAATTTTAATTAACCATATATATCCCTACATAATATAACAGCACAATCATTTAATTGATTGTCCTATTATAATATGTACCCGTACATACCGAAAAAAACATTCGTGCTAATTTTAACATATCGACTTAAATGCTGTTTAACCGAAACGTCATTGATGCTTTTAACCGAAATGTCGTTTGGTTAAATTAATGCTTTTTAACCAAAATCGTTTGGTTAATAGTACAATAACGTCATTTCTAAGGGCAATATAGTGAAATATTGGACCGAGGGCCGAAGCAGTCAGTTTTTGAAAATCAGAAGAGAACAAAAGTAACGCACTAGATATTGTATGTGCACATGTTTGACGGAGCATAGAACGTTGAAATCAACCTTGGTCAAATTTGTATTTGAATCTATTCAAGTTGTAAAAGTGATTAGGAGCTAAATTGTTAAAGAAAATGATATTTAAACAATCAATGAACTATATATGTTTAATTCATTACCTACTCAAATTCCTAACTCCGAATAAGTAACGTCTACATCGCTTCAAATTGAAAAGATAACAATAAATATTCTCATAAGGGAATAAAATGATGTAGTTTGTAATTGTATCTTGTGCAATTTGTATGGAAAAGCAATATGAATGCGCCCTCAGTTATGCAAAACTGTTTCACAATGTCATTTTGACGACATTTGTGTAATAATGTGTCACATTGCCTCGAACTGGAACAAAGAGGACCTTGCTCTAGCTAAATTATAAATGCTTCTTAGAAGAAATAAAAAATAGCAACAGCTATTAGGATCGGAATGTATTTTATTATCTTCATTTTAAGGTTGACATTATTGCTTTTTCAAAGCTCCATTCAATACAATTATTGTAAAATAACCTTTCAATGGCTCAGAATTAATAAAAATAGAAATCTTATTCCAGATGCATCAAGAAAGTTGATGTTGATACAATGATGATGTACAGTATATCTTTGCATTTATTATGTCTTAAAGGCCACGTATAAGTTTAAACTATTTTAACTAATCTTACAGATCGATCCAAGACATTCTTTGGTCAACCATTCAATAGGTTTGTAACATGACGCTCATATAAAAGAGAATGTTATCTTAATCTACAAAACCATACGCACAGACAATCTATTTTCAAGGTCCGGTAATCAGTGCACAATTTTCCAATCGATTGGGATCAATTTTTATTTCTCTGTAATTCAACTAGTTTAGTTGGTGATAAGGACACAGTCTGAAGAACACATTCTTTTTCTGTTCTCAGACAGAATTAAAATTTGTTAGATCATTATTTTTGAGTTAAATTAACTTTATAAATACCAGGTCGTTCAATAAGTTCACGGAAAAATGCTCCAATTTCAAAGATTTTTTCGCGAAATTATTTTTTCAGGAAATTTTCTCACGAAATCTTTACACAATGTGTAAAAAATACTTTCTGATTGATTCATAAAATATCAGCATCTCTTATTTGATTGGTCGAAAATAATGGTTACTATGGTAACTTGACTTTAGGTAGGCGGGGCACTTTTTACATCACAGAATTTATCATTACAGAAATCTATCAATATGTGCAAATGAAGGATCCCTATGTTTTATTTGTTGTTATTTAAATTACAAACATAATGAGGAAAAATTGATGTTCATAGTTTTTTGGGATCCTGCTAGTCAATGCTGAACCAGAGGACCAGAAAATCATCAATGAGATTGAGAACTATGCTATGGTAAGTTTATAAAACTTAAACTTTATAAAACCATTCAGCCAATATGCTAATATTGTGTAGGAAACCATCTCAATCAACTGGAAATTAGATGGCAAAGCCGCCCCAAGTTCCGTACTCTCCAGATGAGACAATCCTTGATTTTGCTCTTTCCAACAGTAGATAAAAGATCATCTAAGAGGTGCACATTATGAAACAATGCAACACATTTCGAATGTAGTCCAGGTTGCCCTTCAAACAAGTTTTCCAGATGGCTTCAGAGGAGTTTCAACAATGAGTTGAATACCAGCGATTGTGCATTAAACATGAGGGAGAATATTTCTACCACCTTATGGGACAATAGTTCTGACTATTATATTAAGTTATATCATCTAGACATAGAAAGTAGAGAAGAGAAAATACATGTGATACACTAATAAACTTGCCTGTTCTGTTGTTTTCCTATTGAATAATGTGACATAAAAGGTGCCCCGCCTACCATAGTAACCATTATTTTTTTCCAATCAAATTAGAGATGCTGATATTTAATGAATCAATAACGAAATGTTTTTACACATGATGTGAAAATCTCACGACGAAATATTAAAAATCTTTGAAATGATAGCATTTTCCCTGAACTTATTGAACGACCTGGTAGGCGCTAATTCTCTTTCTTAGACGCAAATAGTATGTCTTTACACTCTTTAATGACAATAGTACGAATTGCATAATTTGTCTCTTTTTTTACAAATACCCATGATATTGTCAAAGACCTGTAAAGGAAAATTGATGTCAGGACATTTTAGTCAAGCTAGATATTTGCATTTGCTGTCAATAGTAATCATATTACTGTATTTGTTTTATTGTTTTACTATAGTAGATAGTATTTAATTGTTCGCTTAATATTGCATTCATCTCGGTGGAATTCAGTTGTCTTCAAGAGACTGACTAGATAATGGCAACTCCGCGCAGTAGCAAATCCCAATGAACAAAATATCAATTACCGAATTCCAATCAATTATACTCATTACTTTGGTTAAAATTGAAAAAGAATTGCGAATTCCTGCAAAGCAGCCATTTTGAATTTTCTGAGGTACAAATCTGAAAAATAATAGCATAATTGTGATCTACTCCAAAATTCCTTCAATTTGAGTATAATATAGCCATACTTTGAAGGGATCGAAAAATGATTGCGAAATCGTACATTAGACGGCCATTTTGAATTTTACGAGGCTCGAATCAGAAAAAGATACAATATTTGCAATCTACTCTTAATTGCCTTTCATTTGAGTATAATAAAGCTATACTTCAGAAAGGTCTAAAAATTAGCGAAAATTTCTGTTTTCCTGACCCCCCATACATGGCCCCTGGGGGTCACGGAAAAAATGTATATGTGGAATATATGTGAACTAGATAGATGTTGCGAATATACTACCAAAATTTCAAACAATAATATTAATTACTTTGGTTTAGAATGAAAAATTTATGATATTTGCGAAAAAGTCCCGTCATTTTTAAAGCGGCGGCCATCTTGAAAAATTTTTTTTTGCGTAAAACTATTCATCAATATACATCTTTCCACCAAATATGAAGAAAATCCGTCCACTAATATTTGAGTTATCTTCCGGACGGACGGACGGACGGACTGACTGACTGACGGACTGACGGACGGAGGGCTTCACTATATCCCTACCGAACTTCGTTCGTTGGGATAATTACCTATAATTTATTCAGTCAAATAAACACAAACATCCATTTCTAAAGGAGTGGAAATTCAATTTTGGCAAAAATGTCCGAAACAAGTTTTTGAATTTTAACAAAATTGAATATTCTATGTTGTATGTATTATGAAACTGTTTCCAACTTTTCATGTGGCCTAGAATTAATTTGTTCATTTATTGTACATTGTACAAATTACTGAATTTGGATGAGCTAAAACCAATGGATAGCATGTTTTTTTCAATATACGAATTGATAGGTCAAAATAAAGAATGGTATTGTATTAAAAATGATTGCATTTTTGGTGAAAATGTGGTCAACACCTTTGAAAAAGTAGGTTGATGAGTAGATTGCTAGCTAAAGTCTGATTGACTGAGTCTGATTGACTTTATTGTTATTGAATATAATTTTCTTTGAGATGATGAATGGATCTAAAAGATCATGTCGTCATGGTCATCGTCAGAAAATAATCATATGATCCAAGATATAACCGTCCAATCGACATTCGTCTCGATTTTAAATATGTATCTTATCACATACCATATCTACCTAATGTAGTGATCATGGTATAATAAAGATCATATATACAGTATATATACTTTACTGAATTATATGTTCTTATTTCAGTTACTACGCTATGTATGCCGATGGCGATTGGAAAAAGTGTATACAAACTGTGGATTTACGGTGTCTTTATGTGTAAAACGACAGGATATTTTCAAGGTAAGCATAACAACTGAGACGTTCCCCATGATCTTTTGATTTAGTTTCACTGTTTGATTCATTTTTTCTGGCCTTCCTTTCTTCATTTCATTGAATGTAACAATACGAATAGCTCTTATATCCCCCCAAAAGTACCCAAGTACGCCATCAGTCACATGTTTAATGTCATTCAATGTCATGTAATGTATTTCCGTCTAATATTGTATTTTTGGTTTAATATATTCAAATAAAAGAGGCTTTAAAACGCTATTAAATGGAGTGTCGGTGTTGCCAAATTTTTGGAGGGGGTTGTATCCTCTCATAAGTAGGCGTTTTGAGGACTTCATTGCCCTATTAGTTTAATTAGATCATGGACCCTTGTCTATGAATCTCCACCCAATATTAGATACAGAACCATTATAACCAATTCAATTAATTAGAAGTCACCAATTCTAGTAATGTCAAACTAAACTGAGTTAGTGTCTTTTATATTTTGAAAAGTGATAACATTGCACTGAGTAAATAAAGAATTTCCTTTAAAAGTCTTGTGAATGCATACAGTGTTGGGGTTTACGACAAGTGATAAAACCTAACACAGTTTTACATTAATCAAGATAAATGGAGAAAGTCTGTGTCCGCAGTCACTTTGTGCACATAAGACTGTACTATCCAAGATTAAGGATTATTTATCGGGTACTCAATCTGATTATATATTGACTTAGTGCCAATGCAAATTGCTAATTTGTACGTCACTATGCCATCTTCCATTTCCCAGAGAAAACTGTATTTTGATAGACAAGGAGTTGTTACGGCATTCTCCTAGCATTTCGTTCAGAGCAATCTCACCGAACGAAACTGCTTTTGCAGATATGTTGTTAAGTACATAGAGATTATCAATATCCTATATGAGGTTCAGGATATTGGGATTATCCCGAGGCAAATATAATATATCTGCCCGAGGACCGTAGGTCCCGAGAGTAGATATTACAGGGTGTCCAAAAAAACAAAGTTGAATAACTCGGTCAATTTTGCTTGCCGTGAAATTTCAGAATTATTTAGTTAATTCAATGTGAATTTTGTTGTGAAAGTTTGATAATAATCAGCCAGCTGAGTCAAAATCTACAGTTCCTTACAAAACATGCCCCATATGTGCACCTCTCCTCTCTATGCACAATTCAATCCGGCGAACAAAGTTGTTGATTATCTTCCTCTACACATATCTTTCTGAATGGACAAGTTTATTCCAAGAACAATTGAAACTGGGGCTAATGAAATGTTACAGCATCCATTGCATTCTGAACAATGCATTGCCTGAGTGGCAATGAGGAAACATGGAATCATCAGTCCTTTTTGGTTCGAGGGGACTGGGGACGTGCTTTCACCATGAACAAGGACCAGTAAGTTCTCGCTAAGTTTTGGAGGTCACTAAAGCTACGTTCACACCAACGGCGCTTTGATGGCGCTTTAATGCGACGTGCAAATCCGCTTCGCACGCCGCATTAAAGCGCCATCAAAGCGCCGTTGGTGTGAACGTAGCTTAAGCACCAGAAGGGACATCTAAGGAGGTAAGCTGTGGTTTCATCAAGCCAATACCACCCTAACACTGCAAATGCTATGCTGAAATTGTTTAGGCAATGCTTTGGTGGTCAGCTCATCAGTCACAGAACGCAAACCATATGGGCAGCTCATTCGCCAGATCTAAATCCCCCAGATTTTTATCTTTGGGGATTTCTCAAAGCCAATGTGTATACTGACAGGCCCCTAACAATCTTAGAGGGCAATAACTACCCCAATATGTACCATCCACATTGATGTGTATATGTTAGGGTCATTAACGACTTGGTTCACAGTATTCGTTTGTGTATAGAGAGGAGAAGTGCCTACTTTGAGCTTGTTTTGTAAAGTACTGTAGTTTTTGACACAATTGACGGATTATCATCAAACTTCCAGAACAGAATTCACATTGAATGAACTAAATAATTCTTAAACTTCAAGGCAAAATATGCAAAATTGGCCACAGTTCAGAAAATTTCCAACATGCGAACTTTACAAAAAAACAATATGCGAGTGGCGATTATGACGTAGCGGGCAGATATGGTTATATCTGCCCGCTCGGAGCGGGACGTAAATCTTTATCTGCCCGCTGATGAAACCATAAGTTTTTACAAACCTGCTTCATGTACCTGAAACACGTCCAAGTATGGGATAAAAGCTGTTTCTGCGTATCTGTTGACAAATAATTCAGTACAGCTGTATGTGTCTGGCCGTCAATTTTTTTTAATTATTTAACTTTTGCATGTCGTTCTTTTATATGCGATACTCTGCAATATAAATCCATTTGGTTTTTTGATGATCCTGCAATTCGAATTTTATTTTATAGGAACAACGCAAAGTGGCAATTAACATGTCCATTTCGTTTCTTAGCCTTTTACTTGTCCAACGATACGCGCGCGAATATTCTAGATTTAAAAATTCTTTAAAAGCCTTCATTAAACCAGAACAACGGCAACGCCAAAGCGTAGCGAAAATCATCGAACAGAAATGGCTGGCATTTTTACAAACGAAATATATATAGCAAATATCATACAATAACACACATAAGAAAGGCCACAATTTTCAAAATGGTTGCTCACTAGCCAAGTTGTCATCAGAAGAAGTAATATGCTTTTGAGTAGCCACATATAATATTTCTAAAAATCGCACACACGTACATGTAAATGGTGGCCATTTTTTGCAATCCTTACGAGTATTCACATATCAAATATGAACAAAACCGTTCTATTACTTTTTGAGTTATAATAAAAATGTAAAATAACACACATAAAAATGGTGGCCATATCAGTTTTATTAGACAATGTGCCATGCTTAAAGTATTCACATATCAAATATGAACAAAATCGCCCAAATACTTTTCGAGTTATAGTAAAAAATGTAAAAATGACAGCCATTTTTAAAATGGCCGCCTACTTTGCAAAGTGTCATGAGACAGTGTGCAAGGCTCATGAGTATTCACATATCAAATATGAACAAAATCGCTCCACTACTTTTCAGGTTATAGTAAAAAACGTAAAAATGGTGGCCATTTTTCAAAATGGCCGACTACTACCCAAAATGGCATTAGACATTGTGCCATGCTTAAAGTATTCACTTACCAAATATGAACAAAATCGCTCCATTACTTTTTGAGTTACTGTAAAAAATATTAAATAACACACGTAAAAATGGTGGCCATTTTTCAAAATGACCGCCTACTTTCCAAAATGTCATTAGACATTGTGCCATTCTTAAAGTATTCACATACCAAATATGAACAAAATCGCTACACTACTTTTGAGAGGTACAGGCAAAAATGTTGACCGCTAATTGACCAATCAGATGCTTGTATTTACACTGAGGAACTAACAATATACAATTGTTGACCTCTCAAGAGGTCAACCGGCAAAATTGTATACCGAGACTGTAAACCGAGAAACTACTGTTGACAGAGACCGAAGGTCGAGGTCAACAGTAGTTTCAAGGTTTACAGTTGAGGTATATGATTTTGACGGTTGACCGAATGGAGAGGTCTACAATTGTTTTGTTAGTCAGAAGAAACTATCAATATACATATAGACGACAGTCATCAATCATGGCTTCATTTCACAATCTTTTCTCCGAACCACGCCAGCAATAATTTTTTAAGAAAATCTTAAGACAGTGGTAGCTAAACTCTCTGTTTTTGGCACATAACTGCGTACTCACTAGTAAATTAATGTTAATATTTCGTTTCTTTTTGTATTTTTGCTGTACTTGTCGTCTAGCAAAGTCAAAATATCACTTTCATCAACGTTTACGAAATGTCCGTCTACCATGTTTTTTCTGTAAACATTATGACGTCATATCCCCCATAATTCACAAGTGTAGTACAGTAACATAAGCGGTCAATAATATGATATCCCATGATGCACAGGTGAGGTACAGGCAAAAATGTTGACCGCTAATTGACCAATCAGATGCTTGTATTTACACTGAGGAACTAACAATAAAAAATGTTAAACACACGTAAAAATGGCGGCCATTTTTGAAAATGTATTTCTTCTACATTTACATTTCTAGCTTAATCAATGTCATATATAACTTTTTTACATTTAAAACATATTGCTATTACAGTTTTATATGCAGAACCTGTAAAATCTGCACTAAAATGGCCGTCATTTTTAAATGAGCGGCCATTTTGAAAATCGGGTTTCGGGCAGAACTTCTACCCCCTTTGGGTATATGTGTACAAAATATGAACAAAATCTGGCCAACGGTATTTGAGTTATTGCCCGGACGGACGTACGGGCGGACGGAGACGTTCCCTATATCCCTCCGAACTTCGTGCGATGGAATAATTACTTACAAACCGTAGATATATTAGCTGATACTCATGATTAAAGGCTGAATCAGGTCTAGCAATTAAGATACTGATCTCTTGACAAAAATTGTTTTAAATTTAGAATATTTTGGGGTCATTTCATTCCTTGTCATGTCTTTTTTTCTAAAAATTCTCTGTATACTGTACTTGAGGAAAACTAAAGATTTTTACAAAAGTGGATTCATTTTTTACGAACAAGGTTATCTTTTTTATTGGTTTGGGAGGATTTACACCCATTTTGGTACTTTGCATTCTTTATCAATTTATAACATATCGAAGCTCTTTTGGGAAATATCATATTTGAGATTGTAAGGAATATATTAGTAGGTCAGCTGTACATGTTGCTTGCAATTTTGTCAACCCCTATGGATCTGATTCTGCCTTTAATGAAGCATGAAAGTTGCTAAATTAAAAATATAATTTTCGGGCAAACGATCCAGGATTCGCAACTTGTCCATGGGGTACTGGGTTAGATTATGCTTAAAAGTGTTGATTTGAAATATTGCGGGGAAAAGCTTGTTCGGTATTCCCTCTCAACCAATGAATATCCCTGATTTGTTTTACATTTAAGTATATCCCATAATGAGCCCCAGATGACGTTCTTCTTATATGGAAAATTCTGTTGACAAGAATACACCCCCTCTAAAAGTTTGGCAAATTTCACTGTCAATTGGATTGCCTGGGAACGATTAAAAACTTTTCCTCGATTACAACAATTGAGTTGACAAAGATGATTTTAAAAAATCGCCTAACATATGAAGGCTTTAAATAACACTGATCCACAGAGTGTAGTTAGTTTTGCCAAACCTTTCGAGAGGAGTGTAAGTATAGTATAACTACAGTATTTGCTATTAAATACGCAGTGAGTAGCATAAATATATGCATTTGGAGTTTTGTCATGTCAATAGTGATATGAATCTATCGATCATTTTTGGTAATCGTACTTTTTGACATAACATCAAAGTGAATGCGTAATGTGATGAATGGAAGCAAAAATGAAATCTAATATGATGTTCGTGCACAAAATATATTCACCTAGTTTTATTTCTTAATAGTATATATTTTAGCACCTTAGTAGAAATGAAATATCTCCGGGGAAATATCCTACACAATATCCTGCGAGTAGAAATAATCTTAATTTACGTCATTAAAAATTCACAATTCAGTCAAACTGGTGTCATATTTGAAAAGAGTTTATCAACTTTGAAAATTTAATTTTCTTTGAAAATGTGACTTCTAGGTCGGGGAGATTCCCCATAGACCCAATGTTGTAAAACTACAAAAAGTGAAATATCTTTACTTGTGTTAGCCAGATAATATTTTCTTTTACTGGGCATATTTTGATTTGTATAACTATCACATACATAAAGGTAATTTGAAAGGTGAACCACTAAAACTGATGCATATTCAAGTTTAAGGGAATTTTGTTATACCGTGCCTTGTTATTTCCCCCGAATCAGCCACCTGGTGGTGAAACGGGTAACTACCTACTCGCATCTGAGTAATTGTTAACATGGATTGAAGGCTGCCTATAAATTAAAAGAGTCACCCACGCTCGTTCTTCTCAACCGTGATTTACTGTTCCATCAGGTAAAATGATCGAGAAGAAATATTACACATTGATATAGGAAGATTTTTCTAATCAAGTAAATTGTAAATGATATGTACAATGTACTGATAAAAGGCGCCGAATTAATTGTAATAGTGAAACAATCAATATTCATCATGATCTTGAGTTTTTTTGCATTTTAACAAACAAATAATGCATACGTTTTTATAATCAAAGTCCCTCTTCATCTAATACGCTTGTTAGGGGAGTATCTAACAGGGCATTATTATTTGCTTCCCTCCAGAGATAGTACAGGCTGAGGAAGCCACAATAGGAATTATGTCTTATTGGAATTAGTTTACATCTTCCTCAGTAAATACGATGCTCAGTAATGGCATCTTGATCTACAAGGTTCTGATTGAGGTTTTAAGTTGTACAGCCTCAATTATCTGTATACCTCAAAAGTCAAGAGGGACTAACAGATTAAATTCAATCAATGATTTAATCAATCATATGAACGTATTAGTTATTATAGTACAGTAAAATTTGTTGTAAGTGGAATTCCATTAGGACCATAAAGAGTTCCATCCGGAGGCGCTTCACTTGCGGAGGTTGAGTATGATGAAATCATTTGGTCACGAGACTGTTCCACTTGTGAGGTGTTTCACTCACAGAGGTGTGGACATTTTCCCCAGATATGCATTAATTAATGACGTTATATGTGGCATCTTTCAGGTGTTGCTGTTGCTACCAGTGTGCTGACCATCACCTCGCTGAGTATAGACAGGTACTTAGCTATCCGTCACCCCATGACAGCAAGGAGATTCTGCAAGACAACATACGCCAAACGGCTCCTTCCGCTCTTGTGGGGAGCATCGTGTGCTATCATGGTACCACTTATCGTAGTCAGAGAGGTCGTCTTCGTCCATATATTTGACGACTCATTGCCTTATTGCAATGAAGAATGGAAATCAACCCGAGATAGACAATTATATGATGTATTCATTTTGATAATACTGTTTCTTATACCTGGGTTCATAATTACGACATCGTATCTGAAGATGGGATGTCATTTATGGTCTGAGGGGCGAGATCTCCATACGGACCGATCGTTTGCTCATGGGTCTCAAATTGCAACAGTGATGGCAGGAAGGAGGCGAGTTGCTAGGATGTTGATTGTTCTGACAGTTATATTTGCCATAACCTGGCTGCCCTATAATATTGTGACAGTATATATAAACTTTGTAGATAAGAAAAAAGCTGAACCATCACTTTTGGTGCTACCATTCACGTTATGGCTAGCGCATGCGCATAGTGCCTTCAATCCGATCCTGTATTGTTTCATGAACCGCAACTTCAGACGAGGCCTCAGAAAACTCTTTAGGTGTCGTCGCAGTCACAAAAGGGTAACAGCCTTTATGAAATTCCTTTCAAGACTCATAATTATGATTGCCATTATAACTGATTGAAAGGCATGCCTTCCATTTTGTAATAGCACAGTCACTTGTTATGTATAATCATCGGCAAATTCCCTCTCGGAGCCACAGACTTTGAGACATATAATAATCAGGATTTCAATCTGCTGTCTACCCGTCCTAATTAAGATCTTTTGTGAAAAGGATCACCTAAAGCCGAAAATTATTTAATACCTTAGCTAGAATGTCAGAGATAAAACCTCCTCCTTTATAGCTATTTACTTCCCTTATAGTAATCAATGTGCCGTTTCTCTTCTCATTTGTAAACATTTGTTTGTTCATGGTGCACGAAGGATTTTTAAATCAGAACAATTTATCGAGTACTTTATTAAAACTTGATCGCCTGCTACCCCAGGGCTCCCAGACATCCACTCACCTGGACATCGGTTACCCCGGGTTCGGTTCCGACCTCGCTGACCACGTTCCTTCCATCATGAGAAATCATGGCCTTCTTTTAGCTTCACACTAGTATGCGATCCTTCCAACCGAACCAAGTTCTCAAAACGCGAATATCGGTTCCTTAGTCGCAAACCACTTGTTACTCTCTCCGAACTTATTTCTCAACTCGCGTATCGAGTTCCCACATCACAAACCGATATTCGCGGGTTGAATACGTGCTCCGGGTGGAAGGATTGTGCCCAGGGGATTGTGATCAGTGAGGTCGGAACTTACGTCTGCGTGTGTCACGGTCTTGGACGCCTGCATCCGGCTTTCAAGCAGTGCGGATTTTCAATCATTTGACCTCTCAGTACTTTTTCTCCAAGATCGAAGTGAGAATATGTTTGAAATATTATTTCTCATGCTTGGATAGTTATAACAGTTCCCACGATTTTAACAACAAACTGAAAGATTTATATATACAGGGTGGGCCAAAAAACGCCACTTTTTTCAAGACACTACAACTTTTTTATTTTCCAAATTACATACCCCGAATTTTGCAGTTATATAGTGCCAGGGGTTCTTAGTTATAATATAATACAACAAGTCCTTCAACTTGGATAATATTTGATCTAAAAGAGGAGTTCAATTGGTTCGCCACCCTATTTAATGATATATTTTAGTTTTAGTCACCTTGCTGATATAGCAGTATCAATGAAATGTTAGCTAAGTTTTTTCAACCTGTCTTAAATGCCAGCTTTAGTAGAACAATTTTCTAGATTGGGTGACTTCATACAATCTCCTGGAGTCCTTACCATACCCTATACTCACTGGGGTTTGCATTAGGGCTATTAGCTTGGCGATCATCAGGCCGTATCGGTTCAGGAACATTTTGCAAATTATGCTTATTTCTCATGGCACACCACATGTTTAAGTGAGATGCTGGTGACATATTTTATTCAAGTAAAAGTGTATGATTCATGATCCATGGCTAGATAACAACCTCAAGTTTCATTTGGTATGCAAATTATGATTCTGTATCAAAAATTAAAAAAGTTATTGCAATTTGAAAAAAGTGGCGTTTTTTGGCCCACCCTGTATGTAATCAAAACTTGCGAATTGCAATAAGATCATGGAGGTAGGACAAAAAGAGAGAGGAAAACTTGCGGGAAAATGGTATGATATCGATGCAACAACCTTTTGAAACGAAAGGTGTAAAGAACACGTGCGTTTGGAAGAGGAAAATATACTTATATAGCCCCCAAAACAGACATTAAATTGCAATTAGAAGATCGAATTAGTGCAGAATTCCATCCAAATATTTAAGACTTGATTGTGTAAAGTTGTAAACGATGATATATTTTTATAGTGTCATAACGTTCCATTGCCCAAGCGTATTGTACAGAGTTTGATACATTAATATTTATGATAAATTGCGTTAAGTAAGCAATTCCACTTATTTTAGAAACTTGAAGTGAATTTTGATCAATCATTCATGTTGTTGTTACTAAAATGAATTGCTGTAGATCAGAGACTCGATTAGAAAACAATTTGTTATCTGGATTTATCCGACGGTAATAGGAACTATAGAAACTAGTTTTGATATCATTGTTATCTTCGTCCTATTGTCTGATTGTTTCATCCTATTAAATGTTTCTTTACTTTTTATCACTATGACAATATGTCGTAGAGTCGTAGTGAAGATGTCGGGCTCAAGAAATAGTAATAGAAAGTTGAAAGAGGTTACACGGGGTTGATGCAAAAACTTATGACAGGCCTAGGGCTTTAATGTTCATAAAATCACCAAAAATATTCCTTGTAAGACTGAAATGAATTGTCATGCTACAATCTCAATTGCGTTAATTCTTGATAATTTCGTAAACGAAAATGTCTCGGTCTCAATTTTGAAAAAATGCATTCACCTTTTGTACTATTTTAGATTAATTCTGGAGAAACAACTCTCAAATTTTTAATTATTACAAATACCATCACCGACATATACATTACACATTGATTGATGTGAACGCCATGGGATAATTGATATGGCTTGATGGTAGCCAAAGACGATGATAAAATGCGCATTTTCGTATTCGTTTATTCATTTCCATTGCCGATAAATCATGTCTCAATTACCTTACTAAGTCGCCATGACCATAATTAATTTATTCCTGCCAGTCTCACGCTACTGATACTATATTATATTATATTTATAAACTTACTAGTAATACCAACGAAGAGATCAGATAGATAAAGCAACATTCAATTAGTATATTCGTACCACGCACTAAGATAACAAACTTGAAACGACAACCTGCAGAATCAAATCTTTTCCCCTAAGTCCGTTTTCTAGAAAATTCAAATCACGACCAAAGTTCATACTTTATGCCTTACTCTTTGAAACACCTGCTCATTTTTATAAGCCCACACGGTGAGCGATTGTAATCGCCCACTTGTCTGTCTGTCCGTCCGTCCATCCGTCTGTCCGTTTGTCAACACATTCAAAATCCTCCATGACAATTGGAATGGTTTCACTTTCAAAATGTGTCTATACAAAGTCGTCAATTGTTCCATAAGTGGCGTCCAGGTACCTTTATTTCTTGATTATCAACAATGTCTACGAGTTTTGGCAAAATATGTAAGTTATCAATAATGTCTACAAGCTTCAGCAAAATATGTTGCAAAGATTCAAAATGGCTGCCAATTTTATTGTAGAAAAATCAGGTGCTCAGCTTTTTTGTCATAACTTCACAATGATTTCAATTTGTTTGAAATTGTACAGGTACCTTGCTTTATAGGTTACCAGTACTATCTTTACAAGTTTAGGCAAAATATGTTGCAAATTTCAAAATGGCTGCTAGTTTTATTGTAGAAAAATCATATACGATCGTATAAAGCTACCTTTTAGTGTGCTAGTGAAATTCCTCTGTTCCAATTTCATTATAGAAAATGGTATTTTAATTTCAGCTAGCCAAGTACTTTTACAAAATTATTATCAATCTTTCATAATGTGCAAAAAAGTTAAAACATTCAAAATATTGAAACCTTCCCACGTGAGCGCAGTACCCATGGTACTATTCATTTAAAAGGTAATGTGGATGATATTTTTATTATTTGGGAGAAATAATTAGTCCTAAATAACTTCGCCATTTGATAAATATCGATCTTTTAAAATATTATACATTTTTGAGAACAATAATAGTACATCATTGATTCTGCCACTTGAATAAATATTTTCAAGAAGACATTAACTACAGCAGTTTAGAGCAGTTAAAGTTGTATTGACTTCAATATATACAATGAATGCCAAAGAGATGTTCCAAGAGTGTTTATATTTTGACCTATACATGTTACCATGGCAATGGAATATGGTACATTGAAAATATGTTCTTTTAGTAATGTTGTATCTTTTAGGTTATTTTATAGAAAATATTTTGCAATGTGTGAAAAGAATTTAAGCCCAAGACTCAATTGTGGCTACTTCATTCCATTCAGATGTTGTTTCCTAAACTTTGCATTCCCCATGCGGGGTGATGCAAAGATTTGGAAACAAAATCTTCATGGAATGGTTCAGCACACAATGCAATGAGTCCAATCCTTAGCTAACATTTGTTACGTAATGTTAAGTTTAGAAGATATGGTTAGATTGGGCTTTGTATAAAAAACCTCCTACCTCATACCCACCTACCCACCTACGTGGAACATGATACAGTCATTGAAGGGTTCAATTTGAAAGATTATTAAATCTCAAAATAGCTCAAATTATTAACATTTCTACAATTCCGGTTTTATTTTATGACTAGACAGATGACAGATCCATAAATAAAGGCATATGGATGCATTTTAATGTGTAATGACCCGAGGGCGCCCCAGGGGAATAAATAACTTACGACCGCGAGCATAGATCCAACAAGCCAGATAAAGAAATTGATAGAAAGTGTTCTAAATGCGATGCCCCTTGTGGGAATCGAACCCAGCTGGGATGTAGTAGCAACTTGCTATCTATCAAGGGTTATTACAAATGCATCTATAGTTCATCATAAACTAAGATTTAATAAACTAAGATCTTTAAAATCGAACCCTTCAAAGACTGTATCATGTCCCACGTACGTGGGTAGGTGGGTATGAGGTAGGAGGTTTTTTATACAAAGCCGTTAGATTGACTTGAAATTCATACAGTGATCACATATAGGCATATATTACAGATATATTTAAGTTTAGGCAATATTGATTACCATGAAAACGAATTTGAATTTCCTTAGATTAAGTCCTTACAAAAATTGACGAGTCTATCACAGTTGATGTGCTATTTTTATTTTGCTTCTAATTTATATCAGTGATTTTGTGATAAATATACCTATGTACTCTTTCAGTGCGAACATGGTGGAGCCGGAGCGGGGGGACACGGCGTTGTGAAGACAATAACGAAGCGCAGACAGTTGCTGCGGAACTTGTCAAGCAGTAGCCTGTTTAGTCGCTCCAACTCTACAAGTGGAAGCCTAAAGCTTACCCGAACTACCAGTAACAGTAGCACGAACACGAGGACTTCCAGGAACACGTTTAAATTACGTACCGCAGAAGAAACATGCGGTGACAAAACACGTTTCAACGAAGGAATGGTTCGTTCTCCTTATGGCGAATGTAAGAGGTTCCCGGATGTTGTAACGGATCACCAAGAGACTTGTCAAGATACGACTCCCAATGGCATCGAATTCAAATGCGACAATGCTGAAAACTGCAGTAGAAGAAAGAAAGAAATATTTAGTTGTAAATTAAACATTCCAACAACAATTACGGAAGAAAGTTCCCGGTGTCGTTCAGTGTCCCCCAATCCTTTTATATCTCATCGTAAACATTTTAAAACGCATGACTTAGAAAACTAAGATGATGAAACATCGATATCACAGCCGAAGAGATGATAATTTGACTGTTCTTACGAAAACTAATCCGTCAAACTAGTGACAAGACATTCTAACAAAACTAGACTAGTGACAGGACATTCCGAAAAGACTAGACTAGTGACAAGACATTCTGACAAGAGTAGACTAGTGACAAGACATTCTGACAAGAGTAGACTAGTGACAAGACATTCTGACAAGACTAGTCTAGTGACTGCTACTCCTAATCTTAAATGACCCTCACTTAAAATCACGGACTTACACAAATTATTTAACTTAAGACAGTGCTGGTCACTGAGTATCTTTAACCCCGACTTTAACCTTGTTTTAACCATGGAAAATATATCAACAGTGCTGGACCCATCGTCATTGGTGCTTGTTGTACAAAGATGTACATAAATGATAAAAATTAAAACATAAGGGTTGTCGATAAAGGCATATATAGAGGATATCCTATGATTTATGAGTGATATGATTTTTATCCACGAATGGATATGGTATCTGCACGAGCGAGCGTAGCGAGAGAGTGTACAAAGATGTACATAAATGATAAAAATTAAAACATGAGGGTTGTCGATAAAGGCATATATAGAGGATATCCTATGATTTATGAGTGATATGATTTTTATCCACGAATGGATATGGTATCTGCACGAGCGAGCGTAGCGAGAGAGTGCAGATATCAACATCCATGAGTGGATTAAAATCATATCACGAGTAAATCATAGGATGTTCTTTTTATTCCATAGTTAAAGTCATCATCAGAATTGTCGGAAATTAAGTCATTTAATTCGAATTTTCCAAACGATCCTTCGATGTTGACACTTAGCCTCGTTTTGAGTCTGAAGTAGCAAAAATCCATTAACCATCGCATACGACGTCGTATGTCATGGCTAAAAAACCGTATGCTATGGTTAAGTGAAAATTTGTCAAAAATATCATATTTTACCACTGATTACAAAAATACCGTTTTTATTTTCACATGTTATCCAATGAATATGACTTATGCTAACTATGGAATAAAAATCGGGTGGATATAAAAAAAAGAAACCCTGGTCGTGTGCTGCGTGTTCATCTTGATATATGAAAACTGATAATTTTCCATTCCATTCAGACGATGTACGTATGTACGTGTATCGTTTTTTGTAAATAAAAGAGTAAAAAGGTTGTACACAATTGTATACTTTGCAGAATATATATTGAACATTACAAAATCTCATCACTTTGTCCTCGTATTGCCCTCAAGCTACATGTTGTACCTACAAGAAACGCATGCATTTATAATTACTCAGGTTACCATGGCTTGAACTTGGCAGGCTGCAGATTCTTTTAAATTTATTTCACTGTTTAAAATTGTTTGCCATGGGTAAAAGTAATTTTATGCGGATGAATCAATCAAAATTGTGACTTAGGTAAACTCGTTTATCATTGTATGCTAGTCTCGAAATAAAAGATATCTCCATCGTTATTATAAGTTCCTAAAACAAACAGAGTATGAAATTTCTCTGGCCACACATTTTTCGTGTCATTTGGAATAAGAATATAATTAGAAAAAATCTACAATGGGGCCTACAATATGAATGGAATCCTTTTATATATTATTCTGTTCATAAAAGTATGAATTCAGTATCGAATCGACGTAATATCAGATTGAGGTAGTTTCGATCTCACATCAATCATTTTTCCTGATTGATTGCTAAAAGATGGCAGCATTCTTTGTATCTGTCCAAATAACAAAACAACTCTATACAAAAGTGTTGCTATTCAATAATTTAAGTTCGAGGAGTCATATAGATGGCAGAGTATTCGTGTTTTTCTGTCCCACCTGTTTGTCTTATTGCTCTAAAAGCAAAACAAAGATTATGTTGCAAATCATCTTCGGCCTAACAAATGCGTTACCTTTTCACCAATATGAGCTATTATCAGTTTTGCATCGCATATCACCGCGTAGAATGTCAGACAAAATGTTACCACCTGCCATTTGTTACAGACGCCGAACGCCAGATGTCCTCGCGAAAAGTTAGATACCATTATAATATGTCACCACTTGTGATGTTGACATACATCCAGGCATACCAGACTCTCTTCACATGCCCTGCATTTGGCCAGTGTCTCTGATGTGGAGTAAGACATAATTATATACATAGATCACATTGGAATAGCCTGACAACGGTAAAGTCAGATACCGTTGTCACAAATGGCGGACATAACCGTGGCTTCAACTGTTTAACTACTTGGCCCTCATTTCATTGGATTTTCGCTAATTCTGTGCATGTATTAAACTCTTGTTATGATGTTTTATATGAAATCCCAATTTCGATCAAATTGGGTCGTGAATCGCCGCAATATAGCGTCTTCGATATCGTCAATGACAACGGAATCTGAATTTGAGTAATTTAAAAAGAAAACAGCATATGGTAATTACAGTATCCGGTATCTTATTTTGATCGGTTAAATTAAAGACTTTATTTCGATGGTAGAACATTATTAACTGTACAATGAGTATTTATAATTAGACGCTTTGATTGATTGTTGTTCCAAAGGAATTTAGTATACGTGCTCTATTAAACATACTGTTCATGAAAATCAAATTGAAGCGACGGTTATGTCCGCCATTTGTGACGACGGTATCTGACTTTACCGTTGTCAGGTTATTCCGGTGTGTAGATGGCAACGACTGTTTCAGTAAATTCTCTCTTGTTCTAATTAATATACCGTATAAGGCAAGTGCTGTGGTTGCAAGTAAGTCCGTAAGTACAGGGTGTCCAAAAAAAACCAGGACCGTAAGAAAGTTGAATAACTTGGTCAATTTTGCATATTTTGCCTTGAAAGTTTAATGATAATCTGTTTATTGTGTCAAAAACTACAGTACTTTACAAAACATGCTCAAAGTGGGCACTTCTCCTCTCCACGCACAAACGAATCCTGCGAACAAAGTTGTTAATGACCCTTACCTATACACATTAATGTGGATGGTAAATATTGGGGTAGTTATTGCCCTCTTAAGATTGTTAGGGGCCTGTCAGTATACACATTGGCTTTGAGAAATCCTCAAAGATAAAAAATTTGGGGGATTTAGATCAGGTGAATGAGCTGCCCATATGGTTTGCGTTCTGTTGCGTACTGCAACTGATGAGCTGACCACCAAAGCATTGCCTAAACCATTTCAGCATATCATTTGCAATGTTGGGGTGGTATTGGCTTGCTGAAACCACTGCTTAATTATCTCCTTAGATGTCCCTTCTGGTGCTTAGTGACCTCCAAAACTTGGTGAGAACTTACTGGTCCTTGTTCATGGTGATAGCAAGTCCCCAGTCACCTTCGAACCAAAAGGGACTGATGATTCCATGTTTCCTCATTGCCACCCAGGCAATGCATTGTTCAGAATGCAATGAATGCTGTAACATTTCATCAGGAGGATGTAAGCCCCAGTAGCAATTGTTCTTGGAACAAACTTTTCCATTCAGAAAGACATGTGTGTAGGAGGATCATCAACAGCTTTGTTCGCCGAATTGAATTGTGCATAGAGATGAGATTTGCACATTTGGGGCATGTTTTGTAAGGAGCTGTAGTTTTTGACTCAATCGGTAGATTATTATCAAACTTTCATAATAAAATTCGCATTGAATGAAATAAATAATTCTGGAATTTCAAGGCAAAATATGCAAAATTGACCAAGTAATTCAACTTTCTTACGGTCCTGTTTTTTTGGACACCCTTTACCACGAACAGGACATTCTACTAGGGTGACACTTCTATGATTGCAAGTAATGTTCCAATTGCAATAAACTCTACCTCGTATATCCAGCAATTATATCTGTAAGTAATACCCCACTAAATAAACTAGATCATTACATACGTAACCACTGTGTTGCAAGTAATGAATGTACCATTAGAATTTAGACTAGGTGTACATATGTGAAAATGTGGTTGCAAATATCGTTCCTCAGCTAAACCACTCTTCATAGAGTACAGGGGCGTAGTCAGTCGGGGGGGGGGGGGGGGGTGCGATCGCCAAAAAATTCGGTTTTCAGTCAGGGGGTGCGATTGTGGCATAAACAAGCCAAACAATTAAGATTTAACTTGAATTTTACAAAAATTTATGCAACTTCCTTCAAAATTGAGCTAGAAGCTTCAAATAAAAATCATTTTAAAGCTTTTTTCCGTTCTTCTTCTTCTTCTGCTTCTGCTTCTGCTTCTGCTTCTTCTTCATATTGATCGCACCCATCGCACCCCCCCTGGCTACCGTATGGATTATAACTGAAATGGTCATACAGTGTAAGTACAGAATGTAATGTTCTTCTGGATACTCTACATGACGTGGTTACAAATAATTCACCGTGAACACTGGTACTCACCTAGTTATGCTGACGATACGATGGCCAATGTGACAATATTTATGAAGATCGTCAACGTAACAAAAGCGAGGGACTAAATATGTAAATTGCGTCTTCGTTGATATACCAAAAATAGAACCGCCTGCATATTCTCAAACTAGACTATCTTCCTTAACTTTGAGCCAAACTATTGTCCACAACTTGAGTTATAAATGGTGTAGAATCGAGAAATAAAAATATCTTACCGAAAACGAAGCCCGGAAGTTCTTCCATCTTGTTACGCTGACGTCTCGTCAGCGTAACTACGGTAGGTGAGTACCAGTGGTGAAGATTCTTCGTCCATAGTTTATCTTGATCACTTACGTGTGAGGTTGCAATGAGTGTACCAATAGACTTAACACCAATGTGGTTTCAAGTAATGCCTTGGCCCGGGTGCCTTGGTCACATTTGCTCCGATCCATCGGCCGGCGCCCGCCCGATTGAGTGTTTTTTCAATATTGTATTCAATTTTGAAAAAATACTCAATCGGACGGGCGCCGTAGAGAAAATTGGAGCAAATGTGACCAACAACTTGAAGGCATAAGTGCGTCAGTGATTTTATGATGATAGCATAGTATATCCACAGGTGATCACTGGGATTGCGAGTATTGTTCCACTCTCTATACATATACAGCAACCGGATTGCAAGTACTGACATCGGGACAAGAAGTGTTGCACTAGTGACAACTATGGTTGCATGGCATGGCGGTTGCAGCGCAAGTAATCGGAGTCATAAGCCCTTGACTCAGTGCATTGTCGTCGCTGAATCATACCAAGAAGGTGTTGTTTCCAAGTCATTGCATGACCGCGCAGCGGGAATGCAAAGTTTAGGAAACAACGCCTGAGTGGAATGAAGCAGCTACAATGCGTTGAATTCTTTTCACACATTGCAAAATGTTTTCTCCAAAATCATCTAAAAGGAACAAAATCACTAAAAGAACACATTTTCAATGACATTTTCGCAAGGGTCAAGTTGGCATGTCATCAGATCCAATGTGAGAAGTCCATTCATGACCATGACAACTGTGTAACTGGTGACCTTGCCGCTGATGTGTTTATGAAGGATTTAAGCCCTGGACTCGGTGCATTGTTTGCTGAATCATGCCATGAAGGTGCTGTTTCCAAACCTTTGAATGAGCGCACAACAGAAATGCAATTTAGGAAACAACGCCTGAGTGGAATGAAACAACTACAATGCATTGAGTCTTGGGCTTAAATTTTTTCTTCAAAATCATCCAAAAGGAACGAAATTACTAAAAGAAATATTTTTAATGAATTTTTTGCAAGGGTCAAGTTGGCAAGTCATCAAATCCAATGTGAAAAGTCCATTCATCACCATGACAACTGTTTAACTAGTGACCTTGCATGTGTTATTGATATTTCACACCCTGTTCATTATGTGAATACTCTGTTCTGATTGGCTGGAATCGGATACACCTTGCCTATCTGTATCTATGTGGATGATATTTCACACACGGTTCACACACGGTTCATCATGTGAATATTATGTTGTTCTGATTGGCTGGAATCAGACACACCTTGCCTAGCTATGTGTGCTTTTATATAAATATACCTTCTTCATATGTGATCACTACATGGATGTAATCATTGTGCTACATAGGAGCAAAGGCAGTCATAATGCACTGAAACATGTGAATTAGTTTTAGACCCCAGTTTTTCCCGAGGTGTAACAATAGTGGAGAGGTTAAGCTAACGATGTTTTTCACAACGTAACCGTGAACGCAAAGTACAAAAATTAACAAAGGAATGTATCGAGCGCTCATAGTTTTATGCGCGCTTAGTCTACTTCAGATACTCTTTCAGCTTCAGAGTTTCGGGTTTAGAACGGGAGATTTGAATATTTGACGTTGGGTCAACGGGAACCATTTTACTCGTGTCTATTGAACACTATGCTGTCAATTTTGATTTCGATGCACAGTTGAATTCTTGCTGAACACGATAATGTATGTCATGCATGATTTAGCGCCAAAAATCTTACGAAACGAGCTCGTTTAAAATATGTATTAGAAAACCAGCTATAAAACCGCATCGACATATATAGAATCATTACACGCTATGGTGTAGTCTAAACAAACACTGGATTTGAACGGCTATTTATATGAGAAAGCTACATGAATTTGTATATGGTCGAGTGATACGTACAGGTTCAGTTTCGATTATATATGCAAAGCTTAACCTCTCCAGTATAGATTAGAAGTCCATGGTCCATGATAGAAGCCAGGAAAAATGACAGGTCCCTCTACGCATGCGCAGTACATTTGTTTTCAAGATGGCGAATACATTTGATGTTCCAACGTGGTAAGAATTTGACCAATATTACATTACTTACATTTCTGATTTCAACAATATATTTGCTGATACGTTGTGATAAGTATGTAAAAGCAAATGCATTCGACAGAAAGCGTTTCTCTACCATAATCAGTGAGATTTGACCTATAGATTGAAGCAATTTCCTTTTTTTTCATTCATTTTTTTCATGATTTTCTGCAGTGTGCATTGTAATTTGGCCTAGTCTTGATTCTTCTCACCAGTATATTTTCAGAGTAGCTCCCGGCTTGAGTAACATAATCCAACATAAATGACAAAAGTCTAACCAATATTTGTGATGTATGGAACACATCAAACATGGCCTACAAAATGAAGCTAGAGCTCTACAATGGGGAACATATAAAGAATTACTATAGGGCGAAGGGGTGTAACGTCGACACCATTTTGGGGTAACTTCGACATGTGGAATAACTTCGACACCTTGTTGTTTATTTGTTCTAATTTCCGATCTTAGAGGAAGCCATGTTTTTTTTCTCGCATGGATCGAGATCTCGTGAGATTTTAATTTTTCCAGAAATCAAACATGGCGGAAAATGGAAATTCAACTTCTAATAAGTGTCGAAGTTACCCCGTCTCTTATGTCGACTTTATCCCATATGTCGACGTTACACCCCTTTGCCCTAGCTATGAAAATTACATGCTGTCGCACATGTTATAAATTCTTACCTCAGTGTATTCAGTGCTCTATATTCTCCGTCCTAGTAAGTCCAGATATAGTGGAATTTGTGTTCATAATGACAAATAAGAACTTAAAAATTTGAAGTGGATATTCATGTGTTAATGCCTACTCTTCAAATGTTGAGGTGATTTTAGAGCCCGATTAGGCCACAATGAGGATTGGCTCCCAGAATGCAACATGACTTGTGCCAGCTTTCAAAATGCTGTTCCACCATTTTGAAACCTGTCACGAGTAAATGAGGTTAACTGATGTTGCATTCTGGGAGTCAATCCTCCTTTGATCACAAACACGACGATTCATTACAGTAAAATTTTAAATGTTTGGAACTACTTTGAATCTAAAAAAAGCAATTCATATTGAAACAGAATATGTAAAAATAGAAACATTTATACATGTCCTAACTTTTATGTTATTTTTGTAAAAATTAACATGGCTGAAACTCCCTAAATTACAAGAGGCCACAGCTTTGCTGCACATTATACATAACTGAAATATACAAAAGTTAGGACTTGTACATATGTTTCCATTTTTTCATATACTGTTGCAATATAGTCATTTGATTGCTTATTTTTTAAATTCAAAGCAGTTCAAAACATTTAAAATTTTAATGTGCAGACTAGACTACACATATTTTGTAGTTGTACAGCAAATACAAGTAAAAGATTGGGACGTTCTCAGGACACTAGTCCTGGCACAAGATCACAAGAGACCACAAGTTAATTGCATATGAAAGTTATCTGAAATTTACAAAAGTACTGCATACAATATGAATATATTTTTTCTGATTGTATATTTTTAGTTTTTTTACGAACAAAAACATTGCAATGGATTAATCTATAAATTATCTTTTTCGAAAAAGTATCCAGATGAAAGCCAACAAATGACCAAATGTTTTGATCAAAAGTTGTAATAACTTACTTGTCAATATATATCTGGGCACAGTATCATTTTTATTAGGGAGATTTAATCAATAGATAATTACATATAACTTTATTCCAGGGCTGGGAAGCCACCTCCAGGACTTCACTTAGATGTCACAAAGGATGACAAGATGGTACAGGTAAGAAACAAATCAGATGATGTCATTTCAGTTTTGTACATAAATATGAAAAAACATGGATATGACATATTTAAACAACTTTGATCAGAATTGTAAAAGTGTGTATAATGATAACATTATTTTCTTTCAAAGACACATATCAGCCTTTCTTTTGAATGCACACCAATATTTTTCTGCTCGAAAAATGCAGTGGGTGATAAAATGATAAAATAGACCTACATGATAAGCATGTTATTAGGGAATACTTAATGTCTTTGAAAACCATTTTAACTAAAATTACTTACAACTAAAATAGAAACAAGGGTAAATGTTGAGGTATTCAATACAGTGATCTCCACAGTATTTTTTCTCAAGTTGGTGCAAAATTCTCATTTCCACAATTCAGACCAAAATTGATAAAAATATGCCCCTTTTCATGCTTTTCTCATTTTCAAGTGGGTGCAAATGGATTTTCAGTTGAGTACAAGCCTATTTTCAAGTTTTGACAAATTTTGTAGTTGAAAACAAAAACACATCCCTCAGGAGAATTTTGGAGATGCACTGTGCATTTATAAGAGTAAATGTGGTTATAACAGTTTAGCTACTAAACTTGGAAATGGCTAGTACTTGCATATTTAGATTGTATAGTATCTTACATAAATTTATTTGGGGGAGTGAAAAAGGAAAAGATAGAATAAAAAGAAATGTTTTAAGGCAAAGTTATGATAAGGGAGGTTTCAAAATGATAGATATTTTTGTAAGTCAGGATGCACTCTTAATGACATGGGTTAAGAGAATTGTTGCAATTGAAAATTCAAATTCAAAATGGAAAGTAATAGCGCTACATTACTTAAACAAATTGGGACTTGGCGAAGATATTTTTAAATATAATACAAATGAGCGAAACCTTAAATCAAAAATAAAGTTAAAAGAAATTCCAGTTTTCTATGAATATTTAGTTAGTATTTGGCTTAAATATCAACATGTTAACAAGGAGAGACCTGTTAAAAATTCTGAAATTCTATGGAATAATGAGAAAATACAATACAGGAAAAATAACATATATTTTTGTGAATGGAAAAGAAAAGGAATTAAAATGGTAAAAGATGTATTAAATGAAAATAACACAATAAAAAACTATGAAGAAATTGTAGCGATAACTGGTGCAAGTCCAAGTAGACTTTTAGAATACAACATTGTAAGAACAGCTTTATCTAATATTATCATCATAAATGGATGTGATAATGACAATAAATTTTTAAACAAAAACATAAATGTTCAAAATTCAAAATCAAAAGATTTTTATCAATATATATTAAGTCTTAATTAGGGTTGAGACGAGTCGAAAAAATCCGATTCGAGTCGAATCCGATTCGAGTCAGAAAATGACGATTCGAGTTTCGAATCCGTTTCGAGTCGCGAAAGTGCGAACAACATCGCTTTTGACCGTTCGTATTTTTAATGCGTCAATGGTGGAAAGCCGGAAATATAAACAAACACAATTCTGATTTTATTACATATATTCTTTCATTTATGTGTACATACAATATAATAATTTAATATAAGCATATCCAAGTCATTGAAACTTATATATTCAACGCAATATCGAGTAAAAACATGCATATTGACAGTATTTTTCTGAATTTTTTTATTTTTTCGAATTTTTTTCTCAACTCGAAAATGATTCGATTCATCAACTTCGATTCGACTCGACTCGAAGCCCCAAACCCGCGAGTCCTCGACTCATCGGGTTGTCGTCTCACCCCTAGTCTTAATCAATCAATTCCAAATTGTGAAGAAAAGTGGAAAGGCTATTATCCAACAATAAATTGGAAAGAGATTTGGAGTCGAATAAAAGCCTTAAAAGAACCAAGATTAAAAACGCTACAATATAAACTTCTACATAGAATTTATCCTACGAATATACTTTTAGAAAAAATGAAAATATCAAATTCACCAAACTGTAAATATTGTAATCACATGCTAGACACATATGAACATTTCTTTATACAATGTCCAAAGATTAGAGAAATATGGAATGAAGTAGAGAATCTAGTTTTGAAGAAATATTTTTATTACCCTAGATTGAATGTGACTGATAAGTTATTTGGAATCAAATTAAAATCCAGATCGGAGGAAGTATATATAAATAGCCTAATTGTCATAGCTAAGGTTTGTGTGAGTAAATATAAATATGGAAATTATCCAAATATTTTATGTTTGCTCAGAAGTGAAATAGCAATTAGGAAATTGTAAAGAAAATATTATTATATATTGTTGTAGTAAAATATAATGTACTGTACTGTAATATGTTTATGTAGAAGCAATAAAAAAAAAAATATATATTTAGATTGTATAGAAACTCATAAACATCATGTACACATTATGCAGTCCATCGAAGCAGACCTTTGAAATTGAACAAAATTCAGTTCAGACTTCAGATAACATACTTTTAATTGGTAGGAAATTGTGCTTTTACCTAGATTTTGACATATGATTTTCAAAAACATTTGGGTACAAAAATCTAGACTTTGTAGAGCTAAGGCAATCATTTTGAATTTTTATCTTAACCATCCCCAAATCCTTCCAAGCAAACCATTAAAGGTCCCATTTATTAAAAATTTTAGTGATTCTTTTTGGTATAGATATCTCTGATTTGTGTTTAACTAGTTATTAAGCTTGATATTTGTCACCATGTCTGTATAAAATTCAATCCAGATATCATTGTTACATCAAGATATTGCCATCCTATTAGTACCAACTTGTCGCATCACAATTATAGAAAAAATATGATGATATAATGAGTATAAATGACACACGCCCCATCATATATGAACTTTCTATATTTAAAGGATTATCGCAATGAGTGATCAGTAAATAGTTCATCTAAAGTAATAATAATGAACGATAAGCTATAAAATACAGGATATGAGTCTTTATAAAACTGTGTCACCTATTTTCTATCCAGGGGTTTTCTATTAACATTTAAAATATGATGATATAATAGCTCTGTAAGTTAACCTGACATAGCTACTTTAGATAATTGAAATAAGTTGATTCTATGATTCCAGACAAATTAACAGAACATTAACTTTTCAGTATCCATAAATCAATCTATTTCCATTTTCTAAGATTTGGTATATTTAAACTCTCATGGTTATATAATTACAGAGGTGACCTTTAGAAATGACTATTAAGTGGGAAACTTGAAATCAGACTGGTTTCACGTCTCAGAATAAAAAGATTCTGTACAAATTCAAAACTCGGAATATACAAGCACATTTGACTGTCTGAGTTCTGGGGCCGTGAATTCGTACGATCCGCGATCCGATCTGGATAAATTTCGTCATGGTAATGATGCATTGTGGGATTAATCCAAGAATTTATCCAAAAATCGGTGAATTCGTACGATCCTGGGATTAATCTCAGGATAAATCTCAATCCACCTCTTGAGGTGGATTACTTTTTGGATAAATTTTATCCGAATTCCAATGCAAATTGGATAAATCTTGGGGATTCCCCCTCATAATCCTCGGATCGTACGAATTCACCAAATATTTATCGGATTAGTAATCCAAGATTTATCCTAGAAGATAAAATTTATCCGGATCGGATCGCGGATCGTACGAATTCACGGCCCCTGATCCATGAAGTATTCAAGTCATGCTCAAAAGCAAAATAAAATGATAAAAAGCAAAATAAAATGATTTAAAAGTTTTTATGTCTTCCTAACAAGTGATGGCATAATAGTTCTCAACTTTTTTTGTGGATTGTGTTCGATGGTTGGTGTTTGGCATCTGTAACAGCGTCTGTAACAAATTACGGTCAGCATTTGTAACAAATGGCAAGTGCTGATATTTTGGATGTTAATGTCGTGTTATATCATACTGCACAAGAACAGTACTCATCTTCTCTTATCACCATAGAGATGATGACAACACATGTGCGAAATGAACCAAAGGAGTCTACATGTATCAGCCTTTCAGTTAGAGTCACTGGAAGGATATTAGGGACTCCTACAACTTATCAAATCTAAATAATTATTATTCATTAGGATGGGGTCAATAATGTCCGATATGTATAAAATACACTATTGACTTGGAGGGTCCATTGACCAAAATATTTTTTTTAATTCCATATTTGTCACTTAATTTACTTTTCTTTAAAAATTAATTGGCAGAGCTTCAATGTTTTTCACATTCCCGGTGGTAACATCTTGTCATTTTTTGAATGTCTTACATGTATTTGTCTTTTTGTTTGGTGCGCATAGATATTTAGACCCGATCCTAGTATACTGTTCCACTGGTCAACTCCTATGTATTTTGATGCTTTCAGAAACTTATGATTGATGAGAAGAAATGTTATTTTTTCGGTCGCAACAAAGACATGTGTGATTTCTGTATTGACCACCAGTCCTGTTCACGTATCCATGCAGCTCTAGTGTGGCATAAACACCTCAACAGACCATTTATAGTCGACCTAGGCAGCAGTAAGTAGACAACTTTCACCAATCAAATACCAATCATCTTCACATTGAAATTTAACATTGAATGTATGAGTTTCATAGCTTCGGAAATATTTTTCAAAAATGTGTCCATCTCATCATGTGTATAAATATACCATTGTCCATTCTGGACAAATTATCAGGCATGTTTAAAGGTATGATATTACAATGATATTCTCATGTTTAGATGTTAAAACTCTACAACTTCCATATTATAGCCCATGGTACATTTGTCGGAACAATCAGGCTTGAGTCCAGGAAGCCTCAACAGGTCCCTTTAGACAGTAAGCTCCACTTTGGTGCCTCAACCAGGAAATACATAATCAGAGAGAGACCCCAAAATGTGCCTCAGCCCAACAATGATGATTCTATGACTGAAGATATGGATGTCAGCTTACTGGGTCTTCCTGAGACAGAAACAGAATTAGAAGTATGTTGAATATAGTAATATTATTAGTGTAGTATTATAGTATGGTATTTTGTTGTGTCCAAATGCTTTAATACACACTGTACATTGTATTCTCTTGCTGAATATATTCCATATTAACGTAGTAAAAGAGCATTAAAGACGTTTTAGCAAAACTAAAGGTTATTCCACTTCTCGAAACTCTTTACAGTTAAAATTGATGGTGTTATCAGGATATCTGATTTTGTAAAACGCTTTCCACTAAGAATCTAATGTTTTTTTCTAGTGTAATTCCAGTAATTGTGGGCTGGATTCTCAAGATAATCAAAATTCGTGTTTTTAAAAAGTAACCCATTGGATATTGAGATTTTTCTAATCCTCATTTTATCCTGCCCTATTATACTTACATTTTCTTACAGAATTTAACAGAATTCAACACAGCTCACAACAGGCGTGTTGTGTCAATATCAGACATAAGAGATGAAAATACCAGCACAGTAAACCCTCTCAAGCGGAAAAAGCGTGCCTTTGCCCATGTGTCATTTAATGAAGATGAGCAGGTTATCAATCCAGGTAGGCCATGTGACTAAAGAAAATCATTATTAAGCAAAATTAATCTATTTTTTTGCAGTTTTACATCAAGATGTATTTTTTAAGGACTATGTTTATTTGGATTAAAAACACTATGATATTGATCAGATATAATGTATCAGAACAGGGGAGAAGTGGTTTCTATGAGATCGTTATATTTTTGAGTATGAATTGTAACTGTCTTCTCTTTCTGATGATCGAGCCAACATTTACTTGAACGTGTGTGCGATTTTGTTGAAATTTTATATGTGCTACTTAGAAACATATTACACTTTCTTATGACAATTTGGCTAGTGAGTGACCATTTTGAAAATGGTGGCCATTTTTGCTATAACTGAAAAAGTAGTAGAAAGATTTTGTAAAAATGGCAGTCATGGCTGTTCGATGGGATTTGCTACACTTATGCTTTGCAATTATCTGGTTTCATTTGTAAGCTGTTGAGAGCTTTCATAATGAAATCAAAGGTCCCAAGATAGATGTCTCATTTTTTCTGGAAATAAATTTTTCAAGTTAACCTTAACGAATCATTACATTAACTTTTTTGATACTTTAACTTTTGTTTTGCAGAGGACATTGATCCAAGTGTAGGGCGGTTTAGAAATATGGTTTCTACGACAGTGATACCAAATAAAGTAAGTTTACACCGACTTGTTGCTGTATTCAAACGAGTCTGTTATCCTAACTATTTCCTGGGGAATATGTTACTGAGGAGTGAAATATTTGTTTGACGAACATTGGATGGTACAGATTTTAGCTTGAAGAAACGTTCAAGTAATATGCCCATGGCTACTTCACTCACATTGGGTATCATTGCTATAACTTTATTTTATGATAAGGTTATGACACTATCCTTGATTTCTGCTTGAGGTTATGTTATGAGAACATATCAGCTTATGATATATTAGGATATATTAACCTCCTTAATTCCCTACTACTGCTGTTACTGTAACTTTGTCAGTGTTTATCAAGTTTATATAATTTATATTTTGAATATTTATAATGGATATGTGTCTCCTTAGTTTCCATAACTTTACAAAGTTTGTATTTAGAGTGTAAAATTGCAAAAATATAAAAAAGATGCCAAGACATCCAAGATGATAGAACTTGAATTAAATTTAATGTGATTAGACATAAAATACTGATATGTTTGAAAACCTGTATTTAATTAATAATTTAAAATATGTCATTTTTCAGAGATCAAGAACAGATGCTGGAGGCGGAGGGGGTGGTATGAATGATTCAATTAGCACAAAGCTACACAATTTCCCATATGCCCAGAACAGAGACTTATACAGTGATATGGCCACACCTACGTCACCAACATCAACATTTTCATTCTCATCAAAACTTGGATTACCTATGCCCAATCTGGCTCCAGATCTAGACATTATGCCAGAGGCAGTGGTGAACATTAATCCAACTCCAGTTATGATGAACATTGAAGAACCTAATGGACCAAAGAAGAAGAAATATGCCAAGGAGGCATGGCCAGGGAAAAAGCCACATCATTTATTAGTGTAGCGAATGGTGAGCGGGTAGGGGGAGGGCGTACTTTTGTTGTACCCGGTTTCAATACAAAATATGAATTATTGTTTTTATACATATCATTGGTGTATAAATGGAGCATTTTGATGATATTCATTAACAATTTTAAGAATTGTTTTCAATTTTGATCTTTGAGGTTTTTAGCTCATATAGATAAGTATTCTTTTTCAATGGAGACTGGAGAGGTTTCTCAAAATAGATTATTGCTAAAAGCGTATCCACAACTGCATCTTGTTTTAATTGAACTTGTACATATAAGTTTGGTGAATATGTTACGGAATTGAAATAAGTTGTAAATGAGATAAAAACATTGTGTGAAATCTATCTATTGAAATGAAAAGACTTAGTAGTAATGCAGTGCTTTAAAATCATGACGTCATTGTCAACATATTTATGGAGAGTATCAATGAAAGTAGAGATCAATGTTTGTTTGAATGAATGAATGTATTATGTATGCAGTTGTTCAGACTCAAATATTGCAATAAATTCTACAGTACAGCAATTTTAAATAATACCTTACAAATGTTGTTTATTGCAAAATTACTAAATTGTGTATACAGCTTTAGCACAGGAATATACATTAATATTTAAAACTGTATTCAATTGAGAGGGTTCATAATACTATAATATGTGAGATTGGGGAAAAATATGAATTTTGAATTGAATGAACAACATGTGACCTTTGATGACACTGGCTGGTTGAATCATATGGCACAGAGATCCCAATCCTGTCAATTTCAATTTTATAAGTTATTGAATGATTTGAAGTGCAACGCAGGATATAACGTTTTTATCGTGTGATCCTCTGTATTGCTACTGAGATTGTCCCCTCCGTACCAATATTTTCTGTATTGCGACGGAGATGATCAACGGGGACAATCTCAGTAGCAATACAGATTGGTACAGCACAAGAACTGACCAATCAGAGGGCTTCATTTTACAGATCATACGATAATAGCATGACGTACAGTTGATTTTTCCAGAAGCTGTCAGCATTTTAAATTTCAATATCGACCAGTATAGGTATATGCTGACCACATGAGTGCTGAACGCTTATTGTGAAAAAAAATCATGAGTATTCTAACTGGATGAATGTGACTGGAACTATCAGTGTTTTGCAGCCTCTTCCATTTTTAGTCTATTAAGCTCCCTATTGAGTCCTTGGTGAAAAAGATGTGGGTCCTTTGCACATTGACTCTTGTGAGTTGAGAATAGGGTGTTCAGTTGGTGCTGTATTGGAGCTAAGATATACTCCAGGTAGTCTTGGCCAAACTTGTACTGAAAATTAAAATAGTTAAAACTCTAAAAGAAAGAAAACAAGAAATACAAATGTTCCCATGACCTTATGTTTAAGCTTAAATGCATATGCTAACTCATCCTGATAATTTACTCAGGTTCTTGCCTTGTGCATTATGTGTATGGGTTAGTACATGCACCCATGCTTTTGAATTTCTAATAAAAGATAATACAGGATTCTTCATTCTTTCAGTGAATAACGTTATGTATTTGGTGGAAAATTAACATTTGCATCAAGCCCTTATGAGCCACCATACACTTTCCTGAGGGTGAATGTTTGTCATAATTATTACCTTCCAAATAGGAGTGTAGTTGGCCTATTCTGATTGGGTAAGACTTGATCAACAGATTAATCTCTAATTCAAAGGATGTTGATGAATTCTGCATTAAACTTGAGAAATCAAACTATCGATAATTATACAAGATAATAGAATATCTAGTTCAAAGCAAAACCGGAGACTTACCTGATTAAATGTATTAAATACTGCTTTGAATGATGGCTGATCATCATTGATGAAAGTATGGCCATTGCCATGTATAATAGCAGCACCATAGTCCTCAGCTCTTTTACAGTTGCTGCCATGCTTACAATGATCACGCTTAAAGTTCCAATTGCAGGGAATGATAAGCACCTTTTCTGAAATACAATTTGACATTTTTTAAATGAAGGTCTTTCGATAGAGAACAAATAATTGGGTTATTAGTTTATTTGGTGAAATTCACAAGTAGATAAGCAGGTAAAGTAAGACAAGTACTTATGTTTAATAATTTGGTATATCTAAAAGTGCTTTCATATAATATGCAGGGAGGTTGCTGACAATTGGGTGTCAGCTAGTATACGTAAGTTGGAATGCTGTTTAGGCCAAAAGCAGTTTATTCTATATCTTGCCAGAAACCAAATGGTTCGAGACAAACAGAAACAAACCAGAAAAACAAACTATGTGTATTTTGATAATAAGTGAATGTGATTTTAAGGGACAGTTGATGGGTAAAACATGTACACTGTTTGACAGCTAGGTATTAGATGATCCTCATCATGAGGTCAGTTATCAAATACATGTACAGATGTAAGACTTTGCTTTCTTGCCTGTTCTTGGGACTGTGACAGTGAGGTTACTTTATGGAACTATTGTTTCAATTTAGTCACAAAACATTTTTCCACAAAGGAATTACAAAAGCTATGTTGATAGCAAAACCAAACAGTCTAGTCACATTTGATACAATGAACTAGTTTTATGCTTACCTGGATTAAAGTGGAAGAGAATATTGATTAAATCTTGGTCTCCCCACATGATCTTGTCTTTCCATTGCTTATGAATGCCAACAATATGGCTCACCCAGTCCCACTCTCTCATCCTAGTCAAGTTCATCATCATAACACCTGTGTTCACAGCTGAAATACAAACATAGTGTTCATATCTGAAATATCAACATTGTGTTCACAGCTAAAATACCAACATAGTATTTGCAGCTGAAATTTCAACATAGCATTCACAGCTGAAATATTGACATAGTATTGCAGCTGAAAATTCAATATAGTGTTCACAGCTGAAATATTTACATATTGTTCACAGCAAAAATATCAATGTAGTATTTGCAGCTGAAAAATCTATAGATGGTGTTCACAGCTGAGATAGAAACATAATGTTCACAGCTGAAATTCAACGTACTGTTCATAAGAATAATATCAACATAGTATTCACAGCTGAAAAATCAACATAGTATTCACAGCTAAAAAGTCAAGAGTGTTCACAGCTGATATATCAAGACAAGTGTTCACAGCAGAAATATTAACATAGTGTTCACAGCTGAAATATCAACATAGTGTTCACAGCTGAAAAATCAACATAGTATTCACAGCTGAAAAGTCAAGAGTGTTCACAGCTGATATATCAAGACAAGTGTTCACAGCAGAAATATTAACATAGTGTTCACAGCTGAAATATCAACATAGTATTCATAGCTAAAAAGTCAAGAGTGTTCACACTGATATATCAAGACAGTGTTCACAGCAGAAATATTAACATAGTGTTCACAGCTGAAATATCAACATAGTATTCACAGCTAAAAAGTCAAGAGTGTTCACAGCTGATATATCAAGACAGTGTTCACAGCAGAAATATTAACATAGTGTTCACAGCTGAAATATCAACATAGTATTCACAGCTAAAAAGTCAAGAGTGTTCACAGCTGATATATCAAGACAGTGTTCACAGCAGAAATATTAACATAGTGTTCACAGCTGAAATATCAACATAGTATTCACAGCTGAAAAGTCAAGAGTGTTCACAGCTGATATACTAAGACAGTGTTCACAGCAGAAATATTAACATAGTGTTCACAGCTGAAATATCAACATTGTTTTCACAGCTGAAAAATCAATAAAGTGTTGGCTGAAAAAGTGTTTACATGATGAGTGTTCCATGAAAACATAATATAGGAATATCCTATGGTTTTGAAAAAATATCATTTATATCCATGAGTGGATATTGATATCTTCATGAGTGAGCGCAGCGAATGAGTGAAGATATTTGTATCCATGAGTGGATATAATTGATATTTTTGAAAAACCATAGGATTGTCCGTTTATCCCATGGGAAATCATCATCAGCGAAAAAGTTGAAAAATATAATTTGAGAAAAAATTGAAAAAAAAATTGAAAAAATTGTGAAAAATGTTGAAAATTTTATTTGAAATTTTGAATTTTTTAAAAATATTTTTGAAAATAATTAAAAAATGTAAAAAGATTTTTTTTTTGAAAAAATTCGGAACCATCGAATATCACTTTTCAAACCATCGAATATCACTTTTCAAACCATCGAATATCACTCTTTAAGACGTGATATTCGATAGTTTAAAAGTGATATTCGATGGTTTGTGAAATCTTTGCTAAAATATGATATCTTGATCCACATATCAAATATATCTCCGTGTGATATTCGATCTATATCCTTGCAACCATGGGATAACAGGAAATATTGCTTCATTTAAAGAAACCAGATCACATTACAATCATTTTTGAATCCAATTCAACATAGTGTTCAGGCCTGGAGTCAGCTTTTGCCAAGGGGGATTTTTAAAGTATTTTTGGCTGGATGAGGGGGGCTAAGGGCCTGGTGTATTTCTGTGTCAACTCTTACCAAGTTTTCCGTAGTATGGGAACTTAGCATTTTCTTTGTACCAGCTGATATCTTCTACCTCATCTTCCAGTGTTAGAGCAGCCAGATGACTTGAGTTGAAGGTCTTGAAGTATCTCCACAGGCCATCTAGGGACTTCAGTGTCACTGTGTCTGTATCCATGTACAGCAACAGCTCTTTATCTTTTAGGATGTTCTGAAACATAACAGTTTAGCATGTATGGTGTATCTGAAACACAGTAAAACATGTGAACAGTGAACACCTATGGATCCATAAAAATGTGTTCACTCCTGGTAGGTGTTCATTGCAGAGAGGGCAATTTATACAGTAGACAGTGGAGTATGTGGGGAGGAAGGGTGTCCACTGGAGACAAGTGTTCACTAGAGAGGTTTTACTGCAGTTATATACAGTAAAACATATACATGTGAAAGTAAAAAAGACTCAAGTAAAAGACTCGGATAAAGCATTGTAAATTGTGCAATTTAGATACAATCACATGTCTTCATAAGCATAATATAGTTATGAAATGAAGTGAAATTGAAAGAATTAATGGACATATATGGGTAGATATGCATATTGTGTAGATGTCATCTTCTTTTCTGAACAAAAAAGTCATCTACATGTACTAATATTATCAAAAATTGAGGAAAATAACAACTTACAGGTATAAAAAGTCTTTGACAAGCACATGGTCTGAACAGCTGTTTCCATTCATCAGATGTTCCATTGGGGAATGTGATGTTATAAATTGTGTAATTAAACTTCTGTTGAATGTTCCTTGGCCATGATGAGAACTGAAAACACAATGCAATGTTTGCCTATATTCAGTGATTGATCGAATAGTTGATTGTTTGATCACATGTACGTAAAAGAGTCATCATAAATACTTTAAAAGACAAACAGAACAAACTACCTTCTAGTAGGTTTTAAAGGGGAGGCAAAACAAACAAAATTAAATTTGACTTCTATGGGATATCATTTTCACAGTTTCATTAAAATGTTTTAAAATGATTTAGTTGTTTTAATTAAGGCTGAACAATAGATCTTTCCAACAAACCCTGTCTCCTTTTGGTACATCAAAGAAGTTGTGATATATTGGCTAGATCGATGATCTCATTAAAGTTGTAGGTCGCAATTTCTCCTATCAAAAAAAGGATTTACTAAGGCCACCTGCACTAGCTTGTTGCTAATGGCATCAATTGTGACATCACCAATCTAACAAAAAGATTTATTGGAAACGTCTACTAATCCAATATATTCCAGTTAATGTAATAGAGATACTCCAGTCAATGTAATGTAGTGACTCACCATGCTGATAAAGGCATCCCTATGTTCATCAGTAAATATATGAATGTTTAGAGGAGACTGCGTGAAGAGGACATTAGACTTGAGCATAACTGAAGCTTGTTCAAACCTGGGACCGCATGCCACCACTGCAAGCTCTATTCTGGAATTACATGAAAGTGTTATACAGTAAAACATCTTAAGTGGAACACCTCTAAATGGAAAACCTTAAGTACATCTCCAGTTACCCATTAATACATGTATCGACTTAACCTCATTTCTGCGGGCAATAGTGAAATATTGGACCTTGGGCCTTCGGCCCTCAGTCCAATATTTCAAACAGTGAAATATTGCCCTTCGAAATGATGCTATTTTACTAATGTGACTCCCCTCTTGGGGAGCCCTAATATGTTACTGATGGTATGCCTCTTGTTATTCAGTTTTTGTTGGTGAATTGAGACCAAATAGTTTTTAACCATGTTGTTTTACACCTCTTATACCATATATGATAAATTTTGGCCCCTCTTATACACAATTCATTTTCACTATACACTATCCCTATACACCCCCCTATATAGTATTAGCTATGAGATAATAATTATATTTTAAAACTATAGTATTACTATGCAATACTTCTAATGGAACACTAATATGTACTGGTGTACTGTTCATATACTGTATTATGAGGTTATATAATGGTTGATTCCGTATATCGTGTTTATACTCAAGTGAGTATATGATATATTCATGAGTGACTGAAGGGAACGAGTGAATATTTCATATACACACGAGAGTATAACGATATACAGTATCAACCATTATATGATCTTATTATCCCACCCTAATCTTTAATCAATAAAAGGTTAATCTAAATTCAGCAGTTGTATATCAAGTCGAAGAGTTGTATAAGCTGCCCAGGAGTTGTATACGCTATCCAGGAGTTGTATATCGTTCTCAAGAGTTGTATACGATGAGTGTTGGTTTTATATTGCAGTTATACAATGCTATTATACAATCATTTAAAGCACTTAGGGTGGGATAAAATCCAATACATCACCCTTTTATAACCTATGATGTTTCACTATGACTTGTTTTAGCTCACCTTTCAAAATTATTTTTCAATACACCAACCCTTGGTGATACAATTTTCCCAACATTTGCCAGATCACTTGGACCTGTTGCTCCAACTGCCTTAGTTTTATGATCAGCCCCAGCAGGAGCTACATCTCTTGTAATGTTGTTGATTATCTGTTTTCCAGCAGCAATATTGTCATCTATCTTATTTTGAAGACCTTGGAGCTTAGCTAACTTATCCTGCATAGCTTTCAAAGTTTTTTCAACCGTTTCAGTATGTTCATCTTTTACGAGATTGTTATTTGTTGGAATGCCAAGTTGTTTCCTTGTTTCAGATACATATGGCTCTATTTTGACTTTACTGATTCTTCCTTTGGGTTTGCTATTTGAAGGTACCATAGAGTATATCAAGACTGCAGCTCCTACAAAGACGACCCCAATAAACAACTGTTTATAAGTAGACCTCCTCATTATTTCTTGAAACATTATCACCTCCACATACACAGATTATATTTAATTGTTTTTGAAGTCAAAATCTTGGTGGCCATATTCTTTTGGGGTTGCCCTCTTCCTGTGGGCTAGCAATGGTGATGTGCATCCACCGTTTATTACTTTTCTGAATGAAACCCATATCCTATAATACCAAGCACACTGAAAAAGTCCATATAAAACATTTAAAGGTGCAGGTACACACTTAAATGTAATCACCTTTGAAGGCCAAGAGGGAAATCCACATAGGAGTGTTTATTTATAGAATTTGATTCAATATAAAACATGCACACATAAACCGGTATTAGTTCAAAACCTGCAGGCATTCAGACTTTATATCAATAATTTGAATGGTGTTTTACAGTGATTAATATCCTGAATTTCTATCAGTAGATCACACTACCCTCTTACTATTGATGTTAATTTTATGATTTTCCTATTTTGATGCTGATAAAATATTAGTGCACATCTCAAATCTAGCAGTATGGCTTTATATGGATGGCTTTAATGAATGTTGGTTACTTGTATACAGAAAGAGTATAGATTTTCAATCTACAGTTTAGTATAAAAAGTCAATCATCTCAAATTTAAAGAGTATATTTGTCATCTTGTGAAGGGTATAAGTGAGTGATTAAAGGGGAGGGAACACATGATCTTAAACTGTTTACAAAATAATTCTAAACCTAAAAATGCATTCTTTGAGGCAGCCTGTTCTTCACTGTGTGAATAGTATTTAAATCTGAACTTAAAGCATTGCCTGCCCATGAATGCTATTACTTTCAAATTAAGCCGGAATCAAAAAATTGAAATAAGAGGGGGGGGGGGTAGAATACAATGGCTACACTTGCCGATCTTCTACCAGAGTGCAACAAAATTAGTTCTTAAGATGTATAGAAGTGCTGAATTAGACTCACATTGGTGATGCCACTTTAATTCTTTTAGAACATGACTGTTTCCAAGGTGAAATTTATCCTTTTACTCCATCTCATCTTTGGCTAAATGTACGTCTCATAAAACAACCTGATCATACCAAAATGAATATATATTTACTGTATTGCTTAGTGAATCATCTTGGAAAGGGCAATTGCAATGTCATATGATGTATTGTTTTAGAGTTCTTTAGGGATAAGAACTTTTGTCACCATGAAAGTCAAATGATGATTTCGTTTTTTATGTCCCTTAGTATGCTCCAAAAATGGTAAATATCATAAGACAGAAAGAAAACAAGTTACTTCAATTAGACTTTAATACATTTAATGGTATATAATATCTATATATTATATATATACAATAACATTGTAACATAGTATAGCATTTTATAGCAGTGATAAATATTACATCATCATTTTACCCCTCATACTTTTTGAGTATTTTCACTGGCTTTGATCTATAGCCTTATGAAAAATAAAATAAGATATTTTAGAAACATAGGTTTTTTCATTCACCTAAACATTGTGCTTTTTTATTTTTTGAGATATCAAGTTTAATGATAAAATAATTGTTACACAAAATTAGATCACAAACTATTCCTCATTTTAGTATAAAAAATATCAAAACATAAATTATGACATCAAGCAAGTCATCTTTTTCATTCGAGCTAAATGCTTATTAGTTGAACAATATATTAGAAAACAGAAACAAGTAATGAATAACGAACATGAGTTTACATTATGGAAGACTTTTGATACAGTGCTTATCCTAGATTCATGTATATATATTTTTTTCCAAGGGATGACCCTGTATCCAAAGTTGACCATTACATAACTGTTTAAACCCATACTTTTTCAAAGATGTACCCTATACCGCAATGGTAATTAATGGTATTATCTTGTAGAATCTAAACAGAAACCTGTTAAACTGGCTTTTTGTTTTGTAATATTTCTCTAGGAGCATGGATACACAGCCTGGCAAATACAAACAGCACATTTACAGCCAGCCAGAAATATATATACTGTACAGAGTATCAATAGAGGTGGGAAGGATTGTATATTGGATTTATCCAGAGGAATGATATATCATATCATCCGGAGGGATAACCAATACACATTTTTCCAACTGAGGGATGACCTTTTTATACCATGATTATTAATGAATAAATAAAAATTCAATTATTATTTTTTTTGTAATTTTCCACTTTAAAAATAATGTAAATGTAAAAATATCTTGGATGAATACTGAATACCCTAATCGCAATGATATTCATATGAAACACAGTTCAAGTTTATAAAATTCCCAGGGAAGAAGTATATGCTGGATGTTTGAGGGATGGATACAGGCAGTTGGGGCATATAGCAAAAAAACTGAATATAATTTTTATCAACCTTTTTATACACTGTACACCTAATATCATAGTGATCATGGTATACTAATCGCAATATATAAATTACTTATTTTCCCTACAAGGATGGGATAATATGATTTACCCTGCTAATGCTGAAGATTTGCTACATGCCTCAAACTCTAATGGAAATATGAATTGATTCATTATCCACTACTGCATTATTGGTAGGCATCACACAGTATACACTTAACCTTATTTCATAATACAACTTTTCCCAGAGAAATTCAACGCTTGTATTAAATCAAACATTAAATATGTTCATTTCTGACTGTCAAAAAGTTGTTTTCTTGGATTAATGTTACAAACTAACTTAAAATGTGGTCCTGTCAATTGATGATACACTACATATATGGATTTCTTTTCTTAGTAGAAAATATCAAATATTCATTTATACAGTCCTTCAGTCATTTTGATATTTTTCTTGGACAATTACATTTGATTTATCCAAATATATCCATATTTCTTCTCTCTATTTCTAAGTTATTACCTCTAAAAACTGAATATATTCATCATAATTATAATATTTTATTCATTAAATGTCTTGGCTGGTTGTATATAGAATGATAATGGCATGATTAACTACTTAGGTTTCACAATTTGAATTTCTATTGGGCACTGACATTTGATGAAAAAATAAGCGGCTTTGAAAAATTAAATCCAATTGATGAAAATGAAGATGGTGATATTTGAAAAGCTGTCTGCTTTCGGTGATCAAATTTGTTTCTTTCATGTGGTGCGTATATGGATGCCATTTTGGACCCAATATGCATGTCACATTTTACACATTTTGTTCTAACTACATTTACACTTGTACATTTGTAAATTATAGTTATCTCAAATTAACCATAACATTAGTTTAATAATTACAGTACATATATGATAATGATATTATGTCCCTTGATGTAAAATGTCTGAATGTGTGCTATAGCTTTCAATGCAAAAATACTGTTTTATATTTTAAAGACAGAACCTGAGATGAAGGAAGTGAAAGGTTGCAAGCAATACTATGTTCCTTATAATTCCCAATATAATTTCTTCCAAAAGATACTTGATATCTATAATCAATGATATCAAGTTATATTTAAGATTCGAAGTGCAAACATGTGTAAGTCCAAATAATAATATAGGAATATCCTATGGTTTTGAAAAAATATCATTTATATCCATGAGTGGATATAATTGATATTTTTGAAAAACCATAGGATTGTCCGTTTATCCCATGGGAAATCATCATCAGCGAAAATAGTTGAAAAATATAATTTGAGAAAAAATTTGAAAAAATTATTGAAAAAATTGTGAAAAAATGTTGAAAAAAATTTTGAAAATTTTGAAATTTTTTAAAAATATTTTTTAAAATAATTAAAAAGACATGTAAAAAGATTTTTTTTTAGAAAAAATTCGAAACCATCGAATATCACTTTTCAAACCATCGAATATCACTTTTCAAACCATCGAATATCACTTTTTAAGACGTGATATTCGATAGTTTAAAAGTGATATTCGATGGTTTGTGAATTTTTTGCTAAAATATGATATCTTGATCCACATATCGAATATATCTTCATGTGATATTCGATCTATATCCTTGCAACCATGGGATAAATGCGGATACTTTGATAAAATTAAATATAAATGTTAAATCTTTAGAAAATAGACATTAGACAAGGAATTAGACTAGACAAAATATCCTTCAACTGAAAAAGTTATAGGTTGATCACCATCTTCTCTGATCCTGCCTTTAATAAAAAATGTGAAAAGTCATACAGCAAACTATTACACAAAAATATATGATATCAATATGATCTTAAAAATACAACAAATATTACATATTAAATTAGTACAATTCTATAATACAAGAGAAGTGTAAATAACTGAAAATTATACATATATCTACAGCTATAACACTATCCACTGGTTGAAAATTGAAAATGACACATCAATATTTGTCCTTAGGAAATTAAGTCTTATAGCACCATTTTAAATATGTTAAAAGTAACAATGTTTTAATTTCTTAACTATTTATAAGTATTAAAGTTATGAGGTATATGAAGGGAGACCTATTTGCCAAGATGTCTAAATCTGTTAGTAACAATGGCTCTTAAATTGTCATGGCATGTTACAAACCAATTGCAACCAGTGGATAATGCAGCCATGCTAATAACTAATATGGCATCATATTTATCTAGTTTTACTCCCACTACAGTAAAAGGAGATTGTATCTGAACACCTGGAGTGTCTCATATGACACTACAGATCTTGGAGAATTTGATTGCTTGGGATGTCTTATATGGCACAACAGATTCAATACAGGAGAATTTGATTGCTTGTAGTGTGGCGCAACATACTGTATAAGAACAATTTGATTGCTTAAAGTGTCTTATATGGCACTACAGATATGGGAGAATTTGAACACTTGAGGTGTTTTATATGGTACAACAGTTAAGGATAATTTTAACACTTGAAGTGTTGTATATGGCAGAACATATAAGGATAATTATATTGCTTGAAGTGTCTTATATGGCACTACCGATACAAGAGAATTTTAACACTTGAAGTGTTGTATATGGCACAACATATAAGGATAATTATATTGCTTGAAGTGTCTTATATGGCACAACAATTAAAGATAATTTGAACATTTGAAGAGTTGTATGATTGCTTGGAGTGTCTTATATGGCACTACAGATACAGGGGAACTTGATGCAATATGGCATTAGAAAAGGAGATTGTATTTGTACACTAACTAAGTATCGGGTACGTGTCTAGCAATCTACAGATCCACAGTTCTAAGCGCAGCATGGAGTATCTTTAACACTGAAAGTTGTAGCTGCTGCTGGATTCTAAATACATTGTGCGAAGCTGAACTATATTCATATCAGTATCACTCGCATGTTAGTGTAACTCTACGGGGCTGGCATACATTTTAATCTTTCAAACGCAGTTTTCTCCAATTCTTCCCTATGATCAGGGTGAGCAATCCTAATCAGGTGGTATGCTCTTTGGCGTAGGCTTTTGCCAAATAAGTTCGCGATTCCATATTCTGTGACGATATAATGTGCGTGAGCTCTAGTTGTTACTACTCCAGCACCTGAAAGGGAAAAGCTCAACTTTAATATCAACTTCATGTATTTCCATACAGTCTGTATAGATATACAAGGAAAAGCACGTTTTAATGTTTTATGGTTAAAAATGAACTTTACTTCATCTATTATACTTTTAAACTCCTGAAGTAGCAAATCACACCGGATAGAACAATCATATTGAAGAACAATATGTAATTTTACGTGAAACTGAAGAATAGAAATGCATTTTTTAAAAAATAATAAATAAAAGTGATTATAATTTAAAAAAATGCTATTAGTAATCCACTGAAATACAGTGTAGTTGATGGAGATAGCAATCTTACATCAAGGTCACCAGAAGTGTGACATAATTTTGTCAATGGCCACCATATTGTAACCCAAGAAAGATGTTAAATGTGTCTTTTCCAAAGTAGGTGTGTCTTTTTCAAAGTAGGTGTAAACCTATTTTTAAAATCTCAAAGGGTGCAGCACCCACTTTTCCATTTGCTCCAACGCTGGGATATCATTGGATTTAATTTAACTGAGCCTAATACAACAGTACCTTCTTTGAGGTAGCCCACAATTTTTGATTCTCCACGCTTTGTCTGTGAAGGCAAAGCTAAGATTGGCATCCCCAGTCCATCCAGACCTAAGGCAGCTCCTCTGATGAAATCAATCTGACCACCGACCCCTGCAAGTGTATGGACATAGAGAATGATTACAATAGTTTACTCATGTTTGCTAATAATGTATTAGATTCACTGGAAAGGTAATACAGACAGCATGATTTATCTAGTAATACAGTACATATTGTTAGTACCTCAGTTGAAATACTCGATTTTGATTGGTCAACGAGCGGTGAATAATTTTAACTGTACACCGCGCAATGCATTGCCGGTGAATAATATTCCCAGCATTCCACTAAAATGACGTCATTATCAGACGATAAAATGGCCGCCGCTAGCACTAGCCGTTTCAAAAATGTTGAAGATGAGGATATTATTAGTCTCTTAGAGAGTAAAGACAGTCAAAATATGAAGAAAAATCTAAAACTTTGTTCAAAGCTTTTAGTGGACTTCGCCCAGGAGAGTAATTTGAGATGGACTAACAAAACAATTATAGACCTCTCCATTCGGTTTACTGTCAAAATTATATCCCTCGACTGTAAACCTCGACCTACGGTCTCGGTTTACAGTCTCGGGATATAATTTTGACAGTAAACCTCTGGAGAGGTCAATAATTGTATACAGTATTTTTTACTAAATTTCAAACTTTTCTCATATCTGATGTGTTATTCACTCATAACAGATAGTGTGATAGAACCATTTCAATTTGTAACAACAACGCATGTGACTCTGCGATTCTCTCCATTAGCCCTGTTCATTTCTGTCAACATCAAATCCAGTTCCAATATCAAATATAGAATTAAATCAGAAAACTCTCAAACCTCATGGTTTTCAACATATTTCACCAATTGATTTGGTTTTACCAAAACTATTTTTTCAAAATCAAATATTCTGATCTAGTTCCAACCGCATAGGTATACACTGTAAAATGACACTTAGGAATGGGAAAATGGCAATGGGAATATGCATATTTATGTAACTCACCTGAATACATGCGGGCTCCTATAGAATCCGAGACAACTTGGCCAGTAACATCCACTTCTATACAAGAGTTGATGGCTGTAACTTTGGGGTTCTGGCAGATTATTGCAGTGTTGTTCACAAATTCAATATCACACATCACTGAAAATAAAACAACTATAGGTTAAGTATTTCAATTTAAGTTTTGGTTAATATACAAGGGAATCAAGAATCAATAAGGTTTTCAACTTTTAAGTTTTTCTTTTATACCAAAACTAAAATATAATACACCATTTTGCATTGAGGTTTATAAATAAATCTATGGGTCACTGGACAGTTAAATATTTGCACTTAGAAACAAGTTGCATTTATGAATGTTTTCCCGTACTGCAATAATCTTATTGCTGCATTATCTAGGACATACGAAAACTACTAAACTTGTAATTCAAATCAACAAAAATGAAAAAAATTGTAAACTTGCACCTATAGGTTTGCCACCTATATTATATATAACCCCACCCACTAGGTATGTATATTAGGGGGGGGGGGACTTAGGATATTGATCCAAGTATACAAAACTGGCGCTGTATTTAACCTACCTACAAAAGGATTATTGTCCAAGAAATCATACAACTTTTTAGTTCCCAGTGAAAATCCACCAACTATTTTTCCAGTATGAATAACTTTCTTAGCGTTAGTTATCGAGCCCTTGTATACCAGATCCACTACTCCATCACTGAACATTTCAGAGTGAACTCCAAGGTCACGGTGGTTGCCTAAGCATGCAAGGACTGCATCTGGGATGGAGCCAATACCTACAAGTATAAAATTCATAGTGTATATGAGAAAGCAGTTGGGAAAATAAAATATTTAATATGTAAGAATAATGAACAAATATTTCACTCTATTGAGGTGAATACCTGTACATCTTTACAAGTGATATTCCACGAAGCCCGAAGTGCAAGTGGAATATCACCTTGTGAAAGTGCTACAGGTATTCACCGAAAATAGAGTGAAATATTTGTTTTATTATATCACTGTCTAGCTAAATATCCCTAATATTATTAAGTCATATGTTAACATTGAAATACGAATCTAATCGGTTCGTCTGCCATTTTGACTTACACTGAACTAAATTATTTACACTGAACGAAAACAAATTCTTTGAAAATTCCCGGGAGCGTGGGATATCGCTAGATATCTCATGGTTGTCTTATCTGATTAGCATTACCATTGAATATCGCCAGATATCCCACGACATGTGACCCGGTTTTGACCAATCATACTGTCGCTAGCTAGATAGTGATATAATAATGAAACATATTCTCTTTGTAATAGGGCAGTGTAAGCAATGCAGCACTTGAATTAACATTTCAACAATATTATGTTATATACATGTTAATGGCACAGACTTAGAAAAGAAGAGACTTATCCTCTATGGAAGTTTTTTTGGAGGGATTGTTTACTAGTATTTAGGACAAATCGTATCCATTGTACATACATTACACAGGGAAGTATAAGAGCAATCAATGAATCCCTAAGACATCGTAACTACAGGTTCTGTAACTGTATTAATATGTGTATTTGAGTGATATATTAATGTTCTGTTACTCAACATAATTTGGCACACATTTCAATTTGGCTAATTTGGCCAGTCATATCAATCATAATGTAGATGGGAACGCGGATTAAAGTAAGAAGGATATAATGTCAGATATGGTATTTATAGTAATTCAGCTTATTAAATCTTCACCAATATTTTGCAATTTTGCTGAATTCACCAAATTAAATACATGTAGCGCCAAATTAAGTAGAGTAACAGTACATTCATTATTTAAAATTATTCAAAAATTACCCATCTGTAAGGTGGCGCCATCTGCCACAAGATTCCCTGCTATAAACTTCCCAATTTTCTTCTCAACATCTGACTGAGGATGTGGTTTCAAGACTGGTAGATCTTCATCTGTCTCAACCATGACATCAAAATGGGACTGATGAACAATACCATCGCCAAATGTCCTGGGAATCTTTTTATTCACTTGACCTAGAAAATAAACACATTAAATCAATCAGGAGGGATCTCATTAGAATTTCAGAAAACTAATGGCAAAACAAATGTAAAATAGATTACAGCGACACCAAAGCATAGCAAATCCCATCGAACAGCCATGCCTGCCATTTTTGAAAATAGCTTCTGCCTGCAGTTCTGTGTTGTAAATACAACATGTATGAGAACTTCGCAAGAACTAACATCACTTACACTCTTTCAATTTGAGATTATTCCTTTGTTCTAGCTTATGTACCATCAGGATATATACATTTAAGATAATTAAGATATCAAATTAATCATCTCTCATAGTCAGAGGGGGTGTGACAAGATGGGGATAGAGGGTAGGGTAAGCATGTAAGACAAAGGCAACATGATTGAATTGGTACTCTCTGATACAGATGCCATCTACTTCTAACTTACCTATTATGCACCTAGCATTCTGTATAGCAGCCCTGGTACAATCAACGCTAGGTCCAAGGGAACAGAAACCATGCTTGTCTGGTGGGCTCACCTACAATAACGTTGTAAAATCTCTTAAAGGCTCACTGTAACCACTCCCATCTTTGGGTTGATCATTAGGTTGATTGATCATAATACTGATGTACAGTAAACGTGCTTACTCTTGAAATGAAAAACTAAGACTTTTGCAAAAAATTCCTGCCATTTTCAAAGTGATGCCTATCTTGATTTTTTTGCTTGAATCTATTTTTCAATACACATATTTCATAACATTCCAGCAAATATCTAGTATTTCAGTTATTTTTTGGGTAGACAGATAAACAGACAGAAAGACAGATGGACTGCTAGACAGTAGGCTACATTATATCTCTGTGGAATTTCGTTATTGGGAAAATAAATGAATGAAGAAAATGTATATACTCACAGATATCATTGCTACATCCAGGTGTAATATGCGTCTACGAAACAAATGTGGTGTCTCACTAAGAAATATTGGAGTGAAGTCACCCCTGCCCTGGTTCACAGCCTCTCTGCAGTTTTTGCCAATGAACAGTGAATTGCCCCTGAAGATTCCTGGTAAAAATATGTATATGCTAAGGAACTAAGGTAAATATATAGAATTCAATATAAAGTACAGTAAAACCCGTCTTAGTGAACTGCTCTCTCTAGTGAACACCTGTGTTTAGTGAACACCAATTCAAGACACATTTTACATTGACTCCTTTATAGAATATCCTTTCATTGGTGAACACCTACCTACAGTGAACACTTTTGTGGCTCTATATGTGTTCACCATATACAGAATTTACTGTATACAATAAATAAGATTGATAACAAGCATTTATATTTTGCCATAGCCTTGCCAAAGTCGGTCTCTTTTACTTATCTTGATTTCTATTATGACCGCCTTGTACCAAAGAGAAAGCCACGTGCTCTACCGACAGTTTGTTGATGTTGGTAAAATTTGACCAATCAATGACGGCCCTGTAGCGTTAGCTCATTATTATGCACGGTCAAAAACAATTACACTTTTCACCGGGACTTTTCACGAACAAATCTTGCACGAATCTGAGCACGAATTCATCATGAAAATACAAATATTTTATCAGATAAACATCAATGAGAGTTTAGTGGATGCCGGGGCATCGATCGGATAACCAAAGGTGAGAAGATTTCAACAATAAACGTTGAAACGATCGCTGAACATGTAGACTGAGATTCAATCACCGATCGACGACAACATGACCCGCTACATTGGACTAGGTCTTCGTGCATTTTCGTCGCAAAATCAGTTTTAAATCAACATTGAATCGTATGATTTAATTTATATTAATGACTTTTACCTTCCAATGTACATTTAATTACATATAATATATTGTAACTCTAACGAAACACTCGATCAGATCATTGAATTTCAAGTCGTAGTTGGGAAGTTTGTTTTGTTTATGCGGCTCAACCTGATAACGTTTTGATTGGTCATTCAGCCTGAAGTCACACGTTGCGTCCACGTGATATCTGTCAATCAATAAGGTTTTGCGATACGCCTGATAGCGTAGGTATTATGGAAATCTCGAAACCGTTGAATATTTCAGCATAATAACAGCGGAGATGTATTGGATTGTACAAGGCGGTAATAATTCAAGATCAGATAAGTAAAAAAATACCGACTTGGGCAAGGCTAATTTTGCCAGGAATATGTGAATTGGTACAAATTATCCTTTTAACCTGGCTATAGCCGTAGAATCAAATAATTAAATTACTCTTGCCTAACAGTAATCTTAGAGAATACCATATTGTACATGTATACTCCATACATGTCAAATTTTTGTAAGGACAAATTATGAATTGTTTCTTCAACCTCACCTTCATATTCTGGTTTACAGTATTCAGCTGGTCCTTCTGTATGGATGTGTATACACTCTACATTCTGTAAACCAGCTTGAGATCCATGCTTCGCCATAGCACTCACCAAGACATTAGGTGTACATGATGTCCCATGCACATACACACGCATGCCTACAAAACATTTTCTTTATGTGTAAACCTAGTTGACTCGGTGTACACTGTACACCAACATGTTTAGGATAAAAAGACCAGTTAAATTACAAAATGAAGCAATTAAAATGTACTGTGGGTCTATCAAACCTAAAAAATAAATAATCAAAGTATCACAGTCAGTGCAATGTTAATTAGAAACATATATTTATTCAAATTTATTGTTTTTTAGCAAGGGAGAAACTTAAAAACTTAAAATACCAGTCAATTTTTACGTGATTATAAGTAAAACAAGCTGAACTTTAACACCAATTTTAGACTCCTTTTCAATGCTTTTAACATCATTAAGATACTAATTGTCACCACCTGCCATTTGTTACAGATGATAAATGACAACTGATGAACACCATCCAGACAAAAGTTGGAGACTATAAAAATATGTTGACAAAATAGGCCTATATGTAATGAACTGAATTAGCCTACCGGCATATAATATGTATTGTATAGCTAACGTAGCGATAAATAAAAACAAGGAACTGAAAGCGTTTCAAATGAAAAAACAAACATTTGCCCAGCCTTGAACTTCTATGTTGTAAAGATTGTAGATTTTGACAAAATATAGAGGTGCATGTCATATTCATGACCACCTTGAGAATAAACATAACAGTGAGTTATTAGCCTTGGATTTGATGTTTATATGTTGCCCTTGTTTTGAACTTGAAAGGTCATTTACCAGACTTGATTTTCTTCACTGCTTCCTCTGCTGTCGTCCATACTGGCTCTTTTCCTGGGATCGGATGAAACGGTTCTATACTTGATGTACCTACATAGTAGCTTCTGCTATTTATGACCACTGAAACCCTCTTGTTCAGCAGTGGATTACATAAACGCAAGGCATTTTTTAGAACTTTTCCAGAAAGAGACATTTTGAAAGAAGACCCCTTAGGTTAGGGACATTCCATCAATCATTTGACATATTGGGTAAACAAACATGTGAATTGTAGCATATTTATAGTAATTAGATAATTCAGAATTAAAATGAGATGGCTCAAATGAGATCACATCAAAAAGAGATCAGTGGAGTTAAAAAAGATTTCTAACAGAATTGTAGTATGGCTAAGAGTTCCGAGAGATGTAAATATTACCAGACTCGACTAACCGATCAATTGACTTTAAGATTGTATTTTGCTGCATTAAAAATATCAAAATGGAAATATTATCGAAAAAAATGTTCAGTTTATTTTCAGTGAAAGTATAAATATACATTCTCTTTTGTGGACATAAGATAATAATAAATATTGATCGATCATATCCACAATGATCAGTCCCTTAAAACGGCGCCATGATTGACAAACTTTACAAAATTCATTGATTATCACAAGTTTAGTTTTTATGAGAGTTTGACATCATTGGTCAAAGTGTTGTTTTGCAGAATACTATCGGACTATATATTCTGTTGATATGGCTAAGGAATCTGAATGGAGAAGAAGCTGGAGCCCTACAATCGACGCTCAAAGTTGGAAACATTTTAAAGTTGCTCCTGAAAATGAAACTGAAAGTGAAACACCAAACTACATTTTTAAAACAAAGTTCTCTGATAACTCATATGAAATCATGGTTTCAGACTTTAAGAATATTTGGCACAATAAAGAGGATGGTGAAAATATCGACAGAATTTGTAAGGTTCGTCATTGTTTGTTTATGTCACAGAACACCAAAAGTTATGTCACAGGATACAGTACATGTATATTCCTTATCCCGTGCCTGGACTATAGTCTATAGTCCTGGCACGGGATAAATATTTTCCTTGATACACTATGGTGGTATCCTTTGCATTCGTTCAAATTCACTTCTTAAAAGAGAGCTCCGTCTTGTAGTGTTGTCGCGATTAATCGATACATCGCGATATACATCGCCAAAGCTGATTCTGGCGATGCATCGATGTCTGACACAAAACATCGATGTTTTTTAAAAAAAAAAAAATTGCTAAAAATCACCCTTTCTTATCTTATTTTGATGCAAATCGCTTACCTTTCTCATGTCTTATTTCATTTTCCAATGTTTTCTGATATTCTTTCGCTTTAAAACTGTTTTAGCCAGTCGAAATGAACCATTAATTTAAAAAAATTACTTTACTTTCATTTCACCGTTACTAGAAGTTCCCAGATGTACCGGATGTTCGGTATTTTAGTGCATTAGCGTTCGGTATTTCAGTGCACTTTTCTCGGACTTTTTCTCGATGTACATCGCGATGTGCATCGATGTTTACTACTGAAAATTGCCGATGCATCGATGTACGATTATGGCACATCGCGACAACACTACCGTCTTGTAGTTTAACTAGACTCTGCACGCAGGGTAATGTGAGGGGGTTGATATTTTTCTTTACTATTTTTGTATTTCTTGTGCCGACACTTGTTTATATAGTGTCTTATGTTAATATGTTTTTTGGGTTCTGTGATTACATTGTAATTGTATATTTTTGTTTTTCATTAGCAAAATTTATTTGCAATAAAGGGACCCAATAAATTAGTCGACGTCTGTAGACTGATACTTCTCACCCGAGTCTCTTAGCCAAATAGTTGGCTAGATATCACCATACTAGATATATAGTACATTGAATTTGTTTTGTATTCTAGAAAAAATGTTTCGTTTATGTAGAGTACTCATTTTGAATATTATCTTAACATATTTGTTAAATTGCTAATTACATGTATTTCAAGTTGAATTTGCTTTTCAGAAATTGAATCCAAGTGTTGAAGCTTCAACAAAAAGACTCGTAGAACAAATCAGGTCATCTCTGGCAGAGAAAATAGATTCAAGTACATTTGCAGTGTCTGTCCAAGGTGATGTTTTACAGTGGGTGGTCAATAGCCAACTTGCAGAACTACCATTCAAATGGCAATTTGAATGTACACTGAATAATCATTTGGTAAGACTCCACATATATCTTTCTTTCCAGATATTTGCTTTCTGCAGTTAATTTTTTAATATCAATATTCTTTGATCAATTGAAAACTCAATCCTTAAATCAGTACTAATCAATATGCAATATCTCTTATGTTTTAGAAAGTATGCTTTTTATGACCACACAGCAAACATTGTGTGAAACAGAGTCTATATATTTTACAGATTTATTGAACTACAAAATATGTAAGGTTGTCCCCAATCAAGATATATCAAAAGAGCCCATGGTATTAAGAATAAGATAAGACTGCTGGTGCTGTATTAAGGCTACATATACTTTAGAGGTTATCCTGATTTAAGTCAAAGCAAATTAACATGTCTGTTTTAGTTGTCCAGTCAGTTGACAATGCCTCTTGTAGCAATGGTTGGTGAGTTAACAAGGAGACAACAAGAACTAACCAGTCTACTGAAGAATAAAGATAAAGAAATAGATGATTACAAATCTCAGGGAGTGAAAACATCAAGAAGTAAGCACATAATGTACATGTTATTGTCTTTATATTAATGGAAATAAAATGGTAGTAAAACTTTTTCTTGGCTGACATAATTGTCAATAGATGGCTTGAAACCTTATTTAACAAAAGTATTTGTGGCTGTATAATGATTTCAGTATCGAATTGAATATTAAAAAATATATGTCAATAAAAGATGAAATAAATTGCAACAATTCACATTATTGTTGAGATAGATACCTCAGAAAGTTTTTCCTTCCCCTTCTGATTGTCTCATTTCTGTTGTAGAACACCTGATGACAACCAAATTTGATGAGCTTACATTTAACAAAAATATGGCCACCTCGAAGGTATCTTCTAGAAATATTTAATTCATAAATCTGTTAATTCTTGTTTTTTAATGAGTAACATATTTAAACATAATCGTGATTAGGGTAGAATCAGGAATTTCCTGTGAGATTCAGTGATGCACAGTCATTTATTCAACTACATGTACATTGTATTTTCTATAATTTATGAATATACGTGTTGTATGTTTTGAATTACATGTACTGTACTGTATATCTTTTATATGGTTTTCTCAATGTAGATATAATTTCTAAATTTTAATTAGTGCACTTACGGTTTTATTATTCACTTTGTCTAAAGTTCACAGTGATCATACATCACAAAATATCCTCTAGTGCAATGAAAAGCACCATTTATGTAACCGATGCCTTAAATTATGGTGAGATTCGTGATCAATACCATTGAAAAAGGATAGACACCACTTGAATTTATAAAATATTTTAAAAATGACATCTTTATTTTCCAACTTTGAAATGTCGGAAAATAGAATTTGGCACCTAACACAGGAGAGAAAATTCCTGGGGAGAACACTGGGGTTGTTTCATACTTTGAATGGTCCATTGTTTTTAGGGATTTGAAGGAGTTGTGAGGCAGCCTGTTGTAAGTGGTTTCTCTGCTGGAGGACAGAATATGTACTCAGATGTTATGACCAAAATGGCCTGGATCAACAGGCCAATAGAAGAGGCACAAGGTACTAGCAAACATTACCACTTATGAATGGTGTTCAAATGTTGATAGTTGTTGAAATATGAAGTTATCATGGTTTTAACACTCCCTTTATGTAACAGTGTGGAAATGTTGATTTGTCTTGCCTTCAAAAATGTACTGTTTGCACAATGGATATGTCAAATGAATATAAATTAGTTAAAAATAAAATAATTAAAAATAAATAAATAAAAATGAGGAGTCAGTACAATAGGAACTGGGAGACCCTTATTTAAAATATTACAAAACACAATTACAGTATGTCCATGACATGTTTTACTTCAGATGGCTCGAGTCTTGCAGCAGAAGGTGCTTCTCTAATCAGTGAAATCCCAGGGGGTCAAACCTGGGAGAACAGGGTACCAGAGTCTCTGGGTAAGGGACTTTCACCAACTGTATCTCCTGCAAGACCGGGTGCAAAACGGACCCCTGACCAGTCTCCTGGCAATAAGAGAGCCAGGCTCTCCAGTCCTGAACAGTCACCTGTCAAGGTTAGAACTACCCTTTTCATTATTTTGATATGAAGTTTATAGATCAAGCAGTATTTTCTTGCTATAGCTAGCATTTCTTGATCATTGTCTTTGTCTGTAACAATTGTTACACTTTTACAGATGGTGCAAGATTGTTATTTTGCTATCATGTTATTTGTCGACTTGGAGGAATGTTTTGATGTAATTTCTCCTCGCTTCGTATTATAGCATACCTTGTATAGGTTGAGTCATACTGAATGCTATAATTGCAATACACTCCTTATAACAGTGGGAATGTTTGTGATTATACCCCTTTGACTGCTTTATAAAGATAATGGAACCCCTCATTCAGTCCTCATCTCCAGATACATAGTAGTCTGCTCTAGCCAGGATGAGGCACATGAGGGGCTGACCTTATCACTTTTTAACATCCTTTGAGAAACATTCCTCTAACAATGCCTAGTTGTGAATTAATTGTGTAACTTTTATTGATTTTTAATCTTAAATCATAAATTTTAATTGAATTGTGAACAAACTCATTATGTATGGGTTATCATTGTGTTCTTTTATCACTAGGCAAGCGAGGCAAGGTTTGGAAATATTTTTCGCCTCGTCGCTTTTTTTCCACCTGGGTACGCCACTGGTCTATGTCTAATAACTCTGTCTTTATGGTGCATGTACTGTAGGATGCTGAACTGATTAGGCGTGAAGCACTGGAGAAGAAGCTTGCAGAGGAGGAAATCAAACTGGAACAAAAAGCAAAGAAAAAGAAAAAGAAAGGACTTTTTTGAGGTGACATTTTAGATAAGGATACTAATCAATGTTTAGATACGATGCATGGACTAGCAATAATTCTAAGCATAATATAGTTGATACACTTGCCTAACCAAACATTCTGTGACATTTAAATACTACTCATATTGGAGGACTTTGGAATATAAATCAATAATTGGATGAAATTTAATTATATCAAATTCACCCCCCAATTAGAATGACTTCAAGTTTGGAATAAATGATGTGAAGGAACTGAACTGTAAACAATGTGTACTGAATTTTATTACAAATCAGCTGATATTGTGACTAAAATGTTGATATATTTGACAAATGTTTAGAATGTGACAATCATTCAGGTAAACATAAAAGTGATACATTTATAGATGTCACTAATATCACACAACAATGTTATCTCCACAAACGAGTGGCCGTTTGCCATCTACATGGATTTCCACTATTGTCTCTGCATTCTTGAATATTAAATAATAGCCATTAAATCTTTCTGAATTGAATTGTCTGTCAAAATATTATTTAACATATTAATTGGATCTGGATTCACAGAGGATATATTTAAGTTCACTGTTTGACTGGAACTGAGGGAGACATGAACCTTATTGGAAGTCAGTAATCCATCGCAACCATGAGCATTGTATATGTTTTGAAAGTCATGTTAGTTAGTGAGATAGCACCGAAAAATGTACCCGCTTCTGAACAAATTGAAATTACTTGTTTCTTATGTATTTTTATGTGATACTTCAGAAATTTTTTGTCTGATGCGCCGTATCCGGGGCAAAAGTTGTCAAAATTGGGTTTTTGACCCTTAAAAGGAAAATTACAGGGGGTACATTATCATCATTGAATAATTCATTCAGTTGGTCTTCAATCATCATAATAATTTTTATCGAGAGTTGATGAGATCATTTTTAGGTAGTATGCAAAGTTTCAATGGTCTGTCACTCGTGGTTGCCATGGAAACCACAATTTTTGCTGAGAAAATCCTTAATTTTGGTAAAACCTGTACCTATACATAATATAGAATGTGGATTATTTTTCAAATCAACAGATATCAGAACATTTTAGCATTTTCAAAATTACAAGGGCAGTTCAAACATTTATTTAAATATAAAGGATATTGCAATTAACATAACTGGGGAGTGTCAAAGACCATACAATTACATAAGTGATCAAAAGTGGGCGTCGCCCTTATCATAGTAGATGATTGCCATTCTCTAAAAATACAGAGTTTTACTTGACTTTTGAGCATTTGAAGCATTTTTGGTAAATAATGTACATGTAAGTGTTATACTTATTGCATTGGGGAGGGGGTAGATGGGGGGGGGGGGGTAACAGAATTGGAAGAGGGCAAAGCTAATCACCCTTAAGTATAAATCTCATCTACATAGTTCTGGATTTCATAGGGTTCATCTTCTGGGTCTTCTTCACATTCATCTGAATATATAGGATATTATAATTCTGCATGATTGGTAAGTATGAAGACCATAGAATTACTCAAGTGATCAAAAGTGGGCGTCGCCCTTATAGATTCATTCTCTATAAATTCAGAGTCTAAGTTGACTTTTGAGATACATTTACATTACAACTTCTTTGATTATACTTAATTTCAAGCATTTCTGGTTAGTAATGCACATCTTATTAGACTCCAGATGAAATCTGGAGTCTATTGTTTTCGTCAGTTTTCTTATTATTATTATTATTATTCTTATTCTTATTATTCTAAACCAGTTTTCTCAATAACCATAAGGTTTTCAGTAAAGTCAGTCATTTGGTCAATTTAGGTTTAGAATCTAGTTCCTCGGAAATTGGGTCAAATTTTTATCTAGGTCAAAGGTCAAGAACTAGGTCAAATCCAGTACTTTGTCACTTTTTTCGATTTTCTCGGTCGTCCTTCAATATTTTCGATCCGGGTTTTTTTCATTGTGTTCCTTATAAAAAAGTAGGAAACCTAGGGTCGATTTAGTTTTTTGATATCTCAAACCGATTTCGAGATATCAGTGTCCGAAAACGAGGTCCAAAAAAAAGTTCTCCGAATCAAATGTCAAGGATATTAGTCTTATAGAAAATTTTCTCAGGATTCCGAATCTGAAAACGAAATTTGGATCTGACTTCCAGTTCGGAAGTTATGGCGTTTTGAAAACTCAAAAATCGCTAAATTTGGTGCCCATGTTAAGTCAATGGGAAAAAATATTTTTTTGAAGTGAAAAATACGGAATATAGACTGAGTTCAGCTTCATATAATCAAAGCCTTTAAAAGAAGGGGACCTCAAAAGCCATCTAGCTTCACAATTTGGACACCGAAATGCCTAGGTCAAAATCTAGGTCAAATTCATAGGTTTTCCTTATTTTTTCGATTCTGACACTACACTTAAATTATATTCTTCGAAATTGTGTATACATGTAGCCAAGAATATGCTAATAGTGTTAGCCTTTTGCCGTTAGAAAGTATTTTGACCCACTTTTGAGATATGGTGTCCGAAAAGTAGGTCAAAATAAAAAGTTCTCCAAATTGAATATATGAGTTATGAATTAAGAATAGAATTTTGTCAGGAATCCGAATCTGCAAACCAAATTTCGATCCCATTTCCGGTTCGGAAGTTATGGCGTGTCCGAAAAGTAGGTCAAAATAAAAAATCTCCAAATTAAAGTATGAGTTATGGATTAGGGGTAGAATTTTGTCAGGAATCCGAATCTGCAAACCAAATTTCGATCCGACTACCGGTTCGGAAGTGATAGCGTTTTGAAATTTCGAGAAAAATCGATCTGATGGTATCCTGATAGAAAGTCAAGAGTAGAGAAGAAAATATTGAAAAATTCATCCATCCTCCTATCTCATCCTACCCTATCCTTCCTATCTATCCTTCCTTCATATCTTTTCCTTCCTATCCTTCCTATCCTATCCTATCCTTTCTTCCTATTCTATTCTATCCTATCCTTCTTTCTTATTCTATCCTATCGTTCTTTCCTATTCTATCCTACCTTCCTATTTTATTTATCCATCTCTTTCTAGATGACTCAGCTTATTCTGGATGACTCGGCTTATTCTGGATGACTCGGCTAAAAAAAGTCTAGATCTGGAGTCTGAAATTGAACTTCGTTCAATTTCCAAAATCTAGTTGTAATAGTTCTTGCCTGGGGGAGGATGGGGGAGAGTAGTAACAGAATTGGGAGGGGGCAGATGTAATCAGCCTTAAGTATAAATCTCATCTGCATAGTTCTGGACTTCATGGGGCACCTCGCCTGGGTCTTCTTCATATTCATCTCAATATATGGGATATTACAATTTACAGGATTTGTCAAACTCCATACAATTACATATTTATAAACGATCAAAAGGAGTGTCACCCTAACAATAGTAGATGATTGGTTCTTTGTATAAATACAAAATTGAACTTGACTTTTGAGATACATTCATAGTTATACTGAACTGCTGTTATTATAATTTATGTCAAGCATTTCTGGTAAATACATCTGTGTAAGTATTATAGTTTTTACATTTGGGCAGGGGTGAGTAGTAACAGAATTAGAATGTGTAGATCTAATCTGCCTTTAAGTATAAATCTCATCTTTTTAATTCTGGATTTCATAGGGTACATCTTCTGGGGTTTTCTGATTCATCTCCTGGTGTTGCTATATCACCAATCTCTTGTATGAGAATATCAGTCAATACCCACTGGAAAGATATGGAGTCATTTAGTTTCCATTCAAGTCCATCTGGTGGTTCACTACGAGGATTTGCAATATGGGCCATACAGACAATAAGTGCTTTATATGGATGAGATGGTTACAACAATCAGACAGTCATTCATTAGACCAACTTAGGAAAATTATCTAGAGATGAGATGAGTGTGACACCCATAATGACCTTGGAAAGGCACAAATAGCAAGTATAGAAGAAGACATAAAGATGACAAAAACCGCAATCAAAGACTTCCTTGATCCATTTACCATTGAGGATGAAGGTCATCTCTACGGTGTATCATAAGGAAAATCTGTGCCAAATGATGTCGCTGCAGATCTCATCTAATTTTAGTCAAAAGGGGAAATTGCATGAAGAGATACCATCTGAGATTAGTTGAAAAAAAGATTTCATGATCTGATAAAACATATGAAATTGAAAACTATAGCAGCAAACTACAGCAGCAACAGTGACAGTGACAGTAAAAAAAGTACTCAGAACAAGCTTATACAAATACATTCTGAATGAAACATCTTTGAACAGCTTCCATCTTGCTTAAGAACATAAAATTAGCCTAGAATGTCTCCTGCAGTTCCTATTGAGCCCTGTGCCTTGGGCTCTAGGAACACTGACTGGACTTCTTGCAAGAACAGAGAAACGCATCCCTATGCATGAACATGTACCCACAAGTGCCAAAGGGAAAGGACCAAAATGTGTAATAGAACCCAGCAAGAAAAAGAAAACTTCTAAATGTATACAAGTCATAAGGAAAACAAACCCCAACTATCCCAAACCATAATTCAACTTGAAAGGTAGTTTTGTTTCTGGATCTGGCGGAGACTGTTTCAAGATTCTACAATTGCAGATTGATTCGTTTTTGTATGTGATAATTACATCAAAAACCTGAAAGAGGGGAGGGACACCTTGCCCTATTTAAGGTAGAAAAACACGAGTCCCTAAAGATTGGAATTAGTTCTTGTATGATAATGAAAACAAAAAGCAAATACAGCAAAGTGTGCTGCTGGATATTTGAGTTGGAAACAAATGAAGTGGTATTTCCTCCAATATAGACCCTGACATATATGCAGCCTTCCTAGCACTTCACACATTCACAGATGAAGAGCCATGCAGAAGGGGCAATAGCAATAGCACCTTTTTAAAAGGCAAAGGTGGAGCGCCATATAGATACACTCAACTGAATGACTCTCAAATCTATCTGCAAGTGTGGTGGTATATTCTCCCACATGATATTGTTAATATATCAACATCGGGAGGTGAATGAAAATGATCAGACTATGATATTAATACTTAAGACTGACTGGCCATTGGCTCTGCCCCCTCCCATTTCTGCTACTACCCCCTTGCCCCCCCCCACAGGGAATAAATATTACAATACTAAATGTAATCAAAGAAGTTTTAATTTAAAAAATAAATCTTAAAGTCAAGTTAAACTCCATATTCATAGAGAATGAATTATCTACTATTGTTAGAGCAACACCCACTTTTGATCACTTATGTAATTGTATGGTCTTTGACACTTACCAATCATGTAAATTGGAATATCCCATATATTGAGATGAAGAAGACCCAGAAGTGAAGAAGACCCAGAAGATGCACCCCTTGAAATCCAGAACTAAATAAATGAGATTTACATTTAAGGCTTATTAGCTCTGCCTATTTCCAATTCTGTTACTCTCCCCCCCTCCTCCACCCCCAGACAATAACTATTACAATTAGATGTACATATATAACTTACCAGAAATGCTTGACATTAAGTATAAATCAAAGATGTTTTTAAGTAAATGTACTTCAAAAGTCAAGTTAAACTCTGTATTTATAGAGAATGAACCATATACTATGATTAG